GTGCCAATTTTACTGGAAACTTTTACAAGACACAACTTTGGAAAACAATTCTAGTAGGGTTCGAAATATGAAACAAGTTAATAAGTATTAGTCGGTTTTGCCGACAGATATATCCCCCAGGCTTGAGTTATGAGTACACACACTGTTGATCCTTTATGGGGGAGATTCCGAAGCTGTTGGCCAACATTGTTCAATTCGTAGCTGACATACAGGCTGAGATGAAAAAACCGCAACCAACTTCAGACTGCTGCCATTTTTAAGCCACTCGTCCGACAGCTGTTAAAGTTATTTCAGTGAAAGTTCATTATATTGTTTTCAAGCGTACAAAAGCATTTTGGTGAGAGTTTTCCAGAATAAAAGTTATTCGTGATGGAATTCATGCGTGATAGTGTGATTTCTTTATATTTGGCTGGAAACCCACAAGTGGCTATCTTTAGAGCACTCCAGCATTTAAATGTGAATAAATCTTTTGTGTCTCGTAACATCGCTCGTTACCGTGATACTGGTTGCGTAGCCCGACATCAAGGAAGTGGATGGAGATAAACAGCAACATCAGCAGAAATGGTTCGAAAAGTATAGAAGCGACTTGATCGAAACCCGCGTCGCAGTGGCCGAAAAAATGGCTCGTGAGCTGAACATATCGGAATATTCCATTCGGCAAATATTGAAAAAATGAGCTCAGGGTAGAGCCATTGAAATTACAAAAAAGTGCAAGAACTCCCACCGCCACAAAAAGAAAATAGACTCATAAGAGCTAAAGAGTTACTTCGCTTGGCCGAAAGTGGTGAATTGTTGAATTTGGTTCTTCCCGATGAAAAAAACATTCATTGTCCAGCAATTTGTAAACAAACAAAAATGATCGTGTATACTTGCCAAAGAGGTCAGCTGAAAATGTGCACCTTCGGTTGGCCACCAAAACTCAAGCGTCGGGATGTGTGAAATTTGAAAATAGTTGGATGCTTATTTCGCATTTCATGAGCAGATCTTGTGTAAGTAGAAATAATGGGTTATGTGAAATATAAAGGCAACCGGATGCTTATTTTGGATTTTATAATCGATTTGGTTATCAAAAACTTTGACTCTTTGTGGAATAGATACAAGAAGGAATGCTCCGATCTCTACTATCTTTATAACATATTTTGTGTTAATTGAAATATTGAGATGTGCCAAGTCTGAATGGAATTGGATCCTATTTTCGTGTTTTATGATCTTGATGGATATTGAAAATGTTGACCCTTTTGTGGGGGAGATACCAGAAGGAGTGAACCGATCTATTCCATCTTTACACCAGACCTTGGGTTAATAAAAATATTGTGGTGTGTGTACTTTGAAGACAATTCAACTCTTACATCACATTTTATAAGAGTTGTAATTATTCACAATTTTGAGCCTTTGTGGGGGACGTACTGGATGGAGTTAACCGATATTGTCCATATGTCCATATTCGCACCTGACCTAGCACTGATGCAAATATTAGGATTTGCAATATTGGAGCAAAATCGGATTATACCTGAGTGAAAATTAGGAAATTTGTGCCCTGCATTTAATGACTAACTGACTTTATTGTGGGTATTACAAAATTCTAAAACCGGACATAACCAAGAACTGTCAACTTAGATGCACAAAAACTATGAAAAATTCAAGCATCAAACGCTCTTCCAAAGTAAAATGTCGGACAAATCCTAAACGAGGACAGCGAATGACAAATTTGCAGCTCTCAGTAAAAACACATCCATTTGTGTCATCCGCAAAACTCACACAGATACATATGCCCGTGTGTGTGTCGTTGTCATTTCGTCCAATGCCGTTAACTGGCATCGTTCACATGTTCTTCGTGTTGCAAGTAAACCGATCAAGTGGCTGTGTAATGACACGGCTCAAGTGATATGATGACATCTACTCACTGTGTGAAGACAAGAACAAGGAATACAGAAAAAGACGAACAAACACTCACATACACACACACAGTCACGCATACATGTCTGTTTGTTGCAACAAAGTGCATCACAACATCATACATATGTCGGTGGGCACTCTAACCCCGCAGCAAGCTGTTCTTAGGTGTGTGTATAAGTGTGTGGCTGCAGGCAAAGGAAGACCTTGAAGGAAATTGTCATTTAAGTCCTTCATATTTTTCTACAACTGCCACTAAGCTGTGTGTCTATTTCTCTTTTTTGTTGTTGTTGGTAGTTGTTGTTATGTTTTTCCCCATTTAGAAACAAAAAATTAACAACAAAAGCAACAAGACAATGTCATTGACAAACACTACATATGAGTGGGTGGGTGAGTGAGTAGGTGAGTGAGGTACCGAATACAAGAGGCACTTTTATGCCTGAAATGCAGTTAATACATTGTCTTGCGAAATAACCAGCAATTGTTTGATATCCTTGAAAACCCAGAAAGGAAAGATAAAAGTTTCCGCTGGTAATGGCAACAAATTATGGCCATAGTGTGCTGCCTTAAAGATTGCAATAAATTTCAATGAATATTCAGTAGAAGAATATACTGCGGATTTCAGCTATCCCCCAGCTACCTTTAAACGAATCTTCATAAAATGAAAATCTTCTTTAGCTTCTTTGAAGGAAAATCCAGCAAATTTTAATTTTGTCTTTTTGACCATAATAAAAAAAAGTCTCACTAAGAAAATAAACTTTTCTCCTTCCCCATTCTGTGGGGCCATTAATAAATAAATCTCAAACAAAATCAAAAAGAATTTAAACGCTATTTAGTTTAACCATCTCCCGTCTCATTTCCACATTGCTCGAAAACTATCGTTTTAATGGAACACTTAAACTGAAGCTGAAAGTGAGTGTTGAACAACCGACATTGGTCGGCAAGTTCGCCATCATCCTCGAAAATGGTCATTAGAAAGCAAAACGTTGTCTTTGATGTGATGGCGGCTGACACAGCGCCTTGGAAGTTTTACGGCCAACGTGGGTGTGTGTGTGTGTCTGTGACGTATATGCGAAGAAGCTAAGAACAAGAGAAGAAAATTGAGCCAAGTTAGGCAACTATTAAACCACTTATTATTGGTACTCTTTGGAAAATGTGAAATTAAGTTGCAACCAATTAAAAAATGGAATGGTGGAAAAAATAATAATATTCAGTTGGAGATTTTTTGAGGGAGGAGGAAACGAAACTCCCTAGGTGAAGGTAGAAATGGATATGGAGCGAAGGGGTTATAGCTTGATTTTTTGATAATTCGTGCTAAAGAGTACTTAATACCTACCACGAGTACTCTGTATAGAGTCTGAAAGATGGTACTCTTTCTAATATAGAAATGAATGTTTAACGAATTAAAGAAAAACAGATGTATACCTCCAGCCTTGGCTTATGATTATTCTAACTGTTGACCCTTTACGGAGAGGTTCCGTAGCAGTTGGCCAATACACGACATGTAGTGTCTGACCTAAGTCTGATATAAATATTACAACGTGCCATATTTCGACTATATCGCCTACTTCCTATACTCTATATGAGATATGTGCAATCTTTTGGAAAATGTGGAAATATAGCGGACCGAAGAGAATCGTATGCTTATTTCGCTTTTTTTCAAAATCTTGAACCCTATGTGGGGGACATACCAGAAGATCCGATCTCTACCATCTTTGTAACAGATCTTATGTTGATGGAATTATTGAGATGTTAATTTCGCGTTGTATGAGCTTCATGGATATTCAAAACGTTAAACCTCTGTGGGGGGAAATACCAGAAGGAGTGAACCGATATATCCCCTCTTCACAACAGATATTGTGTTGGTAAAAATAATAGAATGTGTAAAATACAAGAGAACCCAATGTTTACTTTGGATTTTATTAACGTTTTGGCAATTCAAAACTTTGACCCTTTGTGGGGGAGGTACCAGAAGGAATGGTCCAATCTCTACTGTCTTTACAACAGATCATGTGTTGGTACAAATATTCAGATGTGAGAAGTCTAAATGGAATCGGATGTTAATTTCGCGTTTTATGAGCATCATGGGTGTTCTAAATTTCGACCTTTTGTGGGAGAGGTACTTGGTGAAGTAGACCGATCGTTTCTCTTTCTGTGGAAAAAATATTTTTGGAATATTTCGACATTTGGAGAGGTACCAGCAGAAAGAGTGGACTGATATATTCAATCTTCACTCCCGATCGTGGGTTAATCAAGATATTGAAGCTTTGTGGGTGATGTACTTGATGAAGTGGACCGATGTTGTCAATTTTTGCAAGTGGCCTAGCTCTCATGCAAATATTAGGATTTCCAAAGTTGGAGCAAAATAGGATTATCCTTTTTCTTTCTGTGCAGTAAAATATTTGGTTTGAAAATTTCAACCTTTTGTGGGGAGGTACCAGAAAGACTGGACCGATATTGCCTATCTCCGAACTCGATTTAAGTTTAATAATAATATTACGATGTTCCAAGTTTGGACCAAATCGGATACTCCCTTCGAGAGGCCAGGCAGGCCGGCGCACAAACATCGCTAGATCGACTCCAAATTTTCTGGAACGGATTTGTTCTGAAGAGACCTAGGGTCTAAAACCGTTATTTCGACTAGACCATATGGTTGGAGGTAGCCATATGGCTGGGTTATAAAAATTGATCTCCCCCGCAGGTTTCAATGATTTGGAACCCAATCGAGTATTAGCAATTAAGGGGCAGGAAACAATGAACTTCTAGGACAATTAAACATTTGCCAAACAAATATTTGAACTTTTTTTTTTATAAAATTTTACAATCTTGTTGTTGGAAATGGCCAGGCTTAATCCCATTATTCCAGTTTACAATATTTTGAAAAAAGTCAAATATTGGCATAAATATCAAATTATTATAACTAAGAGATACAAATTTCTTTCAAAAATATCTTTTCAGAAACTATGGTTTATAAACGAAAAAAAAGATAGGTTTCCTTTAAAAAAAACACTTTCTTTAATAAACTATAATGTAATCCCAAACTAAATGTCAGCTAACCCACTTTAATTTCACTTTTTTTCTTCCATTTTTTTTTTTTCGAAAAACAGCTGGTCTCCAGTAATCCAAATCAAAGGAATTGGCGTGGGATACTCATTGCACTGCTGGTCATAACAATAGTTTTAGCTTTAATTGTAACATCTGTGGTGAGTATGGCAAACATTTGTTTTTTTTTTCGGAAAGAAAACCCACATTGCAACTAAAAAAAACAACCCACACACAACCCTTTTTTTACTATCACGGAATGTCCCAACATCAAAGCAATACCAAATAATGTTCCCCCTCACACACAAACCCCCACCAACCTCAGTAAACCCCCTGAAAAAACAACTAAGAAAACAAGAATTGGAAATCGAGCAATGTTCTGGCATCCATAACTGCATGTCAATGTATGCCTGAGCATTTTGAGACAAAAGAGAGAAGAAAAAACAAGAAACGAACGTCTAATCAAAACATATAAAAAAAGAAGAAGAAAACAAAACAGAATCCTTTATTTTTGGTCGTAAACTTTATGTGTGCCTTTTTGTCTTTTTTCCTTTTTTCTTGTTGTTTCTTTGTAATGTAACTCTGTATGTTGATGTATTTGTATATATATTGTCTGTGTGTGTGTGTGCGTGCATATGTGGTGATGTTTCCGGATTTCGGTTATCCATATGTCTGTGCCTGTGTGAATGTTTTCTTTTTTTTTTTCTTCCTTCGAGTCCCATTTTCTTTCTTTTTTCCTTTCTTCTTGTGTATGTAAATCTGAAATTGGTTAAAAACAAAAACCTTGATTTCATTTGATCTTCTTTACAATACCACCACTACTGCCTCTCATTTGTTTACCCCTTTTTTTCTGGGTTCTAACTTTTTTCATTATCCTTTTCTTTACTCCGATGTGAGGCACTTATATTTTGTGTTTTTTTTGATTTCTAATTCTTTTTTCTTGGTGTCTAACTTTTTTCATCCTTCCTTCCAATTGGTCTTGTCGAAATTTGTTGGTCTATCTTCTGTGTTGTTCTTGTTCTTCTTCTTTTTTCCTGTGTGTGTTTGTTTGTTTCTTTTTGTTTGTATATCTTTGATTTGTTTTGTGTTGTTTTTGGATTACGTATAGAAAACATCATATAAAATTCTTGCTTTTATAAAAGGTACTGCTCACACCACCCGACGAGGGTCCTAGAGTCAAAGGCCAGCGTCTCAAGTTACAGGAAATCGTTGATGGCGCATTCATGCCCCAGAGATCCAATGGCACCTGGATAAATGGTAAGTGTGGCGGGTATACTTTTTTGTCAATACCGAAAGATCTCAATTTCAAACAAAAACCATAAAAAATTAACAAAAAAAGGAAAATTATTTTCTCAAGAAATCATTATTCTCTTTTTGTCTCTTGTCTTTGTTTTATTTTTTTCATTTCCCTTTTGACAGAAGAAGAATTCCTTTATCAGGATCATTGGGGACGCATTTGTCTTTTGAATGTTGCCAATCTAACAGAACGTGTCTTAATGTCAAATGTTACATTTGTAAGTTACTTTTTACTTTTTCACTTTGTACTTTGGTACTTCATTTTGCAGTTGATTATTTTGGTTTATCATTCATCTCCTTGAAGAATTCATTACCTTTTTCCAACCCAGCTTCACGGCATATTCTAACAATGCTTTTGGCGGCACATGTATGCTGTTCATACGGGCAGATATTTATCATTTTATCCCACCATCATCCATTAACTTTTCTGTTCATTGTAGATTTTTATGGCCCAAAAAAAGAAGTATTATATCCATATACATATATTTACGACTTGTTTTCTACTTTATTTGGAATTCAATTTTTTGTTATGGATATTTTATGGGACATTTAATAAATTGAAAAGTTTTTTTGTTATGAGGTTAGGGAGAAGTTTGTTTTTTGTATAAAAAGTAGAAAGTTTATTAATACTGAAAATCAAGGTCGGAATCAAAACGAGGAGGAGAGGGAGTCGTAGTACAATAATGTGTGAAACACATAAAAAAATAATAATAACAAATTTGACGACTTTATCAAATTATAAGCGAGAGATAGGGATTTATATTTTAAAATCGGATAAATAAAGTCAGTAGTCGTTGTCATAATACCATTTTCAAGGACCTCGAAATACTAATTTCTACTAAAAATCAATATCTGAACGTAATGGGACTAAACCTCCATACATCACACATGCATGGCAGGCAGTTTGACAAAGAGAATCTCTCTCTCTCTTCATATTATGCAGACAGTTAGTTCGAGTGCAACTTAACACTTATGATTCATCGATAGAATCACCCATGTAGAATCACCCGCAAACTTTATATGCCGTATGAAGGCGGTAATAAGAAAATAAGTCAAAGTTCTATAGTGGGAGATTCTCAAGGTAGAATAACATCTCCGAGATGGATTGAACTCCATCTTTCTGAAGTTCCACCTCCTTCATACGGCATAAAGATTATTTGCGGGTAATTTTACGATTACGGCTACGGAATGATATCTAACAGGCAAAATAACGGAAAGCGAACTGTGTAATTAATATTTGCTGGCATACTTGTTAGACTTTTGTGGCGAAACTAACCTGTTTTCTCAGGCTTCGGTGAATATGTAAGTGTGTAGAGACAGGATTTTGTAGAGATAAATGATAGAGATATTTAATAATTAATGGCTTTGTTCATTACTATTCCAAAATTCGGATAAAATGTTCTACTGTATCCAAAACAATAAATGATGGTACCTTCACGACTGGAAGATCTAAAAAAACTTGGTACACTTCTCTTTAACTAGAAGTCCTATCAGCAATTCTAAAAGATGATATTTTAATTCTTCCATAAAAATAACTCCAGGGCTTTCCACGAAAGACCTCTCGATTCTTCGATAAGAATAATATATTTCTATGAATGGACAAACGGGTATTTTAAGATATTCCATATCTTCTACGAAAACACCCACATGTCCTTTATGTAAGGACCTTGCAGAAGATCTCCTAAAAGAAGACCTATAAAATCTGCAGCCAGAAGATTGTTAATGTCTTTACCAAAAATAACTCTGTGGTTTTCAATTAGACCTTCCAGGTCTTCAATAAGTTGGCATCCGAAAGAAGATTTATCGAATTTGCAGAAAAGAAACTAGGTCTTCTATAAGAAGGTCTCTCCGATCTTCTATAAAAAAAACCTCCCATGTTTTCCACATGGAGAAATCGCAGGTCTTCCAGAGGGAGAAATTCTCAGATCTATGAAAATATGACTATCATGGCTACAAAAGCCTAGTCAGCTTTTATATTAGTAGACCGCTCGGGACTTCGAACCATTTTAACTAATGCGACATCTCTTCATTTTTTCCAATGACTTTGTCATCTTTGCTACTCGGAAAACATGTTGGCCCCCAATTTCGATTACCACGAACATTCCTACTGCCGAAAATTTAAAGTTTGGTTATACTTCGAATATTCGGCCAGTAGGTGGAGAGATACTCCAGTTGTGAAAATCAGAAAAAAATTAAAATTTCTCCAAAGTAATTGTTTTCAGAACTCATATTTTTCGAATTTTTCTCCGGAGTGAAAAATACTTGCGAGAGGAAAGTTTACTCTCTCACTCTTTTGTTTGAAGTGAGAGCGCCCGCAAGTGATATACTTCGAAAAAAAGAGTGGGAGACAAAATGGTCGAAATAGAGTTAGTGTTGCATTTAAGATTGAAATCTGGCTCAAAAATTTTTTGCTGATTTCTGTGTTCGTGTATGGAAATTTAGTTTTTTACTTTTTTACTCCGAAATCGTTTTGACAGAGTGTAAGGAAAATGCCCTTTCGCAAAAAACAAAAACAACAGGATAAAAACTTAAAGAGTACTCGGCAAGAGTAGAATCTGCTCGATTCGTTCAAATTTAAATATCTCTCGAAAACGAGTAAACCGTACTAGGTCTTAATGAATGGCATAGAGCAAGGAGTATAATCCATTTTTTACTCGAAGGAGTAGTGCTGCTCGGATTTGAGCAAGCAAGAAAGCCACTCAAGCATTTCGGTTTTTTTGATTGTTTTTAAACTCTCTAAATTAATTACAATTTACCTGTAATGTACCTAGTGCAAAAGATATATTGCTGTCGTATTTACGTCATAGATAAAATTTTTTTAAGATAAATTTCTCAGTCAGCAAAATAGTGATAAGATATCTCTCCTTGATATTTTCTGTAGTCCTATATAAATGTTTTGGGACAAACATGTAAAAATAGAGAGTCAACAATATATTTAGTTTTAACCATCTTTTTCAAACTTTTTAAGAATCTTTATCATCGATACCCAGTATGAAATACCTAAGTATTTTCTTCAAACTTTTATTATACACATATATAATCTTGAGATGACATCAATATTTCAAATTTCTTCCTTAAAGTTTGTAAATAAATATTTGAATATTTGTTCCGCATCCCCTGTGTACCCATTTAGATACACATATACATTTTTTTTTTTCAATTTAACTTTTTAGTTTGTGTTGTTAAAGTTGTCATTTTTATTAGTACACAAAAATAAATTTATTTACACACACACAGTCACTCAAACGACATCGTTAACATCCTTTTTTGCTACTTGGTAATCGACCATTAAAATATGATAGCATCCTTTATCAACTCAATGTAATGGTTGGAGGAGTGAAAAGGGGGGTCTGAAAAATAAATACGAAATGATATCATTGCCAATGGCAATGCCAATGATACTGAAATTCTGAGAAATGTAATATTGAAAACTCGAGTAGGTAGGTAAATCATTAAATCAAAATAATAATGATATGAAAAGCAAAATACACAAACTCAAAGGGAACTTTGAAAAATTATCAATTTCGCCAAACTAATAAAAACGGGATTCAAAAAGCAATTTCAAACAATAAATGGAATGTAAATAACTAATTGCGAATACATATTTCTGTGATATTATTAATTCCCCTTTACAAAACCTAGTTTTTCTTTTTATACTCATTTTTAAATTTGTATAAGATCAGAAATTCGAAAAGCTTTTCATTATTCGAGCAAGCTTATAATCTTCAGTTGTAAATTTGGTATTTTTAAACCCTCAGCCGTATGGCTTGAGAAGGTGCGCACAATAACTCCCAAAGGGATTTTCTGATTTAGTCGAAACTTGCTACATCGGAATATTATAATCAAACTTAGATCGAATTCGGAGATGGGTAAAATCGGTCCATTACTTGTGGTACCTCCCCCATAAAAGGTCGAAATTTTCAAAGGTCAAAATTTTATTGCACAGAAAGAGAAGACTTAATCCAATTTTGCCCTAGCTTTGCAATTCCTAGTATTTGCATCAGTTCTAGGTCAGGTGCGAAAATGGACAATATCGGTCTACTCCATCCAGTACCTCCCCGACAAAGGGTCAACATTTTGAATAATTATAACTCTTATAAAATGTGATGTAAGAGTCCGATTGTCCTCAAATTTCACGCATCACAATATTTTTATTAACCCAAGGTCTGGTGGAAAGATGGAATATATCGGTCCACCCCTTCTGGTATCTCCCCCACAAAGGGTCAACATTTTAAATATCCAGGAAACTCATAAAACGCGAAATTAACATCCGATCCCATCTAGACTTGGCACATCTCAGTATTTCCATCAACAGAAGATCTGTTATAAAGATGGTAGAGATCGGACGATTTCTTCTGGTACCTCCGCCACAAAGGGTAAAAAATTTGAATAGCCAAAACGATTATAAAATTCGAAATAAGCATCCGGTTCTATTCAAATTTCACACATTCTGTTATTTCTACTAACACAGGATATTCTATGAAGATGGGATAAATCGGCGCACTCCTTCTAGTACCTCCCCCACAATGGGTTCTAAATTTAAAAAAAAATGGTTCATAAAACTTCTTATTGTCTTCGAATTTCACACAACCAGAAATCTGATACTATTATGGAATTTGTCGGAATTTATTATTTCGCATAAAATTGGATATAACTTTTTGATTTTCTTGTAACTTTACCCATTTCAATAGTTTTATCTGAAAGCATGAAAATGGAATACTTCGGTCCACTATATCTGGTTCCAACACACATTTTAACATTCTCTAAGAATGAAAGAAGTAGTCCAAACCTGGTACGTCGCAATATATCTATCATATTTATTCAGGTGCGATACGAAATGGACAGTTTTAGCCCTTTCCTTCGGAACCTACTCAATAGAGAGTCAACAATTTAAATAATCATAACCGAAGTCAAAATATATTAAATTAATCTAACATTGGCTGAGGGTATACATCTGTCGACAAAACAGACTTATAATTTTAAATTGTTTTATTTCATTTAGTTTTCCATGGTTAAAACCCCATCCTTCAAGACATTAACTTATATTCAATACACAGACTTGAAATCATGAAAAAATTAAGATACATATGAGTTCTTAGGAAATTAAAATTTCACCAAAACTTCAAAGAAGCAAATAATTATCTTTCAAATCTTGTAATCTCCCTGTAATGAATTCATGATGTCATGTAATTATCCTCCCCATTGTTGTTTGAATTGTTTCGGGTTAAATTATCCCCAACCTTCGAAACATTAGCATAAATTAGGCGAACACATGCCGCGTTCATCCCACAATTTTGTTATTAATTTTTACTGTAGTTTTCCGCCTTTAACATACCTTCTTTCTTTCCTCATTATCTGCTTCTTCTTCTCCATTATGTACTAATCATTAATATTGTATTTGTTTTCGAACATCTGACTGGCTTGTCTTTTTTTTTGATAGCTATGAAAGCCTTTCTAAGAAAAATTATTTATTCCTAATTATGCCGCATTGTGGTTCCCCATGTCTATCCGCCATTCTAATTCTCTTTGTGTTTTTTTTTTTTTTTTTGTTCTCCATCCGTTCATAGAAAACTTTAGCGCCGTACTCTTTTAGCATTTCGGCGGATAAACGATATTTGATGGTGTCGCAAAATGTTATCAAATTGTTCCGCCACTCATTTTTGGCTCAATACACACTGTTTGACATTCAAACGAGGTGAGTAACGACAACAATTACAAAAACAACAAGGAATTGAAATGAAGTGACAAGGCAGTTAATTTAATTAAACGAGGATTGAATGATGATGATGGCGATGACGGCGATGATGCTGCAAACCTTCCTTGTTAATGATGAGACTGATGATGATGGTGCTCGTCATCCTCATAATCAGTCTCATCCTCATCCATCTGCTCTGGTTTGGAAGCTATTGATGCCACATCACATTAATATTTGTTACAGTTTGTCACTGTGAAGAAAACTTTCAACTTTTCATGGCATAATGTGAGCTGGCACACAACCTGCCAGCATTTATTCTATGGCCAAAGAGCTGAACCGCCAACTTAACTACCTTTTGACTTTATTATGCAATTTCACACCTGGCAAAATCTCGAAAGACTCTGCCCCATAACCCAGACACTGCTCTCAATTTATTTTCCGTTCTATTTGTGTTTTAATGCCTTCTCATGCTGCTGCTGCTGCTACCACCTTCCAAATGCTGTTCCCGTTTTCACACAACACTCAACAACAACGACAACCATAACAACACCAGTGAAAGTCTCAAATTGAAAATCGATGGCAGTGACGATGAATGGCCCTATTTGCACTTCGCTCGCTTCACGCCCCACAACAATGCCATCGTTTTAGTTTACAATTACGACATTTACTACTGCCAGGGGGCGCGGTCGCAATTTGTGCATCGCATCACTCGCGATGCCATACCGGGTGTAGTCTTCAACGGCATACCCGACTGGTTGTATGAAGGTAAGTTGAAAAATAATGTGGTTTACTCAGACTGACTGACTGTCCGCCCTGTCCGTCTGTCTATCTACCATGGCAGACTGATGACTGCAACTGTAATAATGCAACGTTGCCAGCGCAGGTGGATGACAGTTGTCTCTTAAGAAAATTGATTTCAAATTGAATTTCCTGTTTATGGGTCTGTGTGAGTGTGCCTTCCATACAAGTTTCAAATTCTATTAGCCATCTAAAATGGAATACAAATAAAAGTTTGAATGTAGTAAAAGAAAAAAGTAACCTTTCTTCTTCCACATCAGCTACGTAATTCATAATTGGGTAGGGGATATATTTAAATTGTCATTCAGTTCGACAAATGTCGAAATAGGAAAATTCGATTTCAATATTTTAGTGGCAAATTTTTGAACAAACAAGGATCTTGCAGTTTTTAAGAAATAAAGAAGTTCAATACAGCGATCAATTTTAAACCCGATTAACTTATACGTTATGGTCTGTAAGTAGCCATAACATCCACAGTTGATATCCGACAATCCACAAATTATAGACTTATCCGAAAATTAACTTCTGAACCTCCTCTGAACTCCTTTGCACATAGCAACGAACTACCTCGCCTTATTCTTACATTTTTGATCAGCAAGAAATTTTACAACTAGTTAATCCTTTTGAAGTCAAGAAAAAACCCTCAATATTTTAGATAAATCTTCGATATTTTGGGCTGAAATTTACATTACTTCGTTAGTGTTTGGTAGATCTTCCGCGTTTTGATGATTTCGCTGAAGTTGAGCATTCTGCAGCCACAGGCTTCTCTTCATTATCTTCTGGGGAGGAGTTGGGAGAATTAGACTCAATTTTGAGATCTTCTCGACCGAACTATTTCCCTCACCTCCCTTTGGAATTTTACACGTTATGTTTAAAATCGGTTGGGAATGTGGACTTGGTTTTACCCCAAGCTCATTTTTCAATATTTGCCACATGGAATATTGCGATATGTTCAGCTCACGAGGCATTTTTCGGCCACAGCGACGCGGGTTTCGATCAAGGCGCTTCTTTACTTTTCGAACCATTTCTGCTGATGTTAAAAGTAATTCATTGATCAACCTTAAATCTTGTGAAGTGTAAAATTTTGGGACCCTAAAAAGTTTGATTTTTATTTTCTATTCCAATACTTCACTTCGAATTTACCGCACTCTAATTTGACGTATGCATAATGTAATCATAATTTCGAAGGGTTTATTCCAATTTTTTTTTTATCGTTACATTGCCGTTCCAAATGTTATCCCACAACAGATTTGAACATCACCAAGTTTTTTGATTTAATGGCATTTCAATATTTTGTACTGTTCTTTAAAATATACTCCATTTTGTAAGTTCCGCACTTTTCAATTGCAGTCGGTTAATTGATTTTTTTTCAAACGGCGAAGGATATGAAAGGTTTGCCCTAAACGAACCTTATTTTCCTTTCTTCTGCCTGGTGCAGGTCACAAAGGATTCGACTCTGACCAACTTGTTTCCCCAAAATTGATTAACCTACACTAATAATGTTTCTTCTTTTATTTTCTTTCCCTTTCGTTTTGCAGAAGAAATCCTAAATACCAATAATGCAATTTGGCTATCACACGATGGCCATATGATGTTGTACGGCTCGTTCAATGATTCCCTGGTACAAGAACAACATTTCGCCTGGTATGGCACCACCAGCAGTAATGGTCGAAGTCCATCGGCCACCTCTTCAGGTGCTGGCAGTCATCCAAATGCTAATTTATATCCGGAAATACGTTCATTGCGGTAAGTATGCGAAGGGTTCTCAAGAGAGACAGTGGGGAAGATGGGGATGGTAGGGTGGACTTACATGTGCTCCACAGCTGCCATAGCTTGTAAGGAAGTTCATTAAATATTCATTAAGCCATGCTTTTGTTGTTGTTGTAACCGAACAACAGGATGTACAAGCTTTCAATAAAAGATAACAAATGTAATAGATAATTTATTAAAATCGAATGGCAAAAGCATATGGAGACCAAGGTTGTAATGAATGGATTAAGGTAGTTGCAAAGAAATGTAGTAGATTTATGGAAGAAGGGAATTTAATCAACATGTAAAGAAAAAATATTTTTTTAAGAAGGCTATATTCCAATTTGTATCAATCGAAGCAATACATTTTTGCACCTTAGAGTATGGAACCTCTATATATTATGATGTTTGCTGATTAGAAATACTAAAAGAATACTCTACAAAATATTCATATCTTCCTAATTTCGTGTTTATTTAACGCTCACTCGAAAACGAGTAAAACATACTCGCTCTTATTCGAATGGCATAAAAAATAAAATATACCCGATTTGTTCCTACTCGCAGGAGTTTGTCTGAACCTGTAATAACCTCTTGTTTGCCATGTTTTTCGAAACAATCGATGGATGGATGTTGACATCCTTATTCTCAGATTTAACCAAATCATATGTATTTCCTTTCCAGATACCCCAAACCAGGAACACAAAATCCCACCATAACTTTACGCGTGGTTGATCTAAAAGATCCGGAAAAATTACACAGGGATGTTCAGCCGCCAAATGTACTTCAAAACGAGTAAGTAACCACTGACATCCGCAACAGTGATAACATAATTTTATTCCTTTTATTTTTTCTTTTCATCACCTGTTGTTTGAATGGATTATCACCACCCATTTTTCCTTTCAGAGAGTTCTATTTCACCAGCGCCAGTTGGGTTAGTGAATCGGAAATAAGCGTGGTATGGTTAAATCGACCACAAAATATTTCCGTTGTAAGCGTTTGCAAGGCTCCCATGTTTGTGTGTGTAGAGGTAAGTTTCGAAACGTTGTTTGTGGTCATTGTTTATTTAATATTAGGGACGATAAGGAGGAGGAATAATAAACTGCGTGGTCGCTGATAATAATACCAAGGTTGATTGTAAAGGCGATAATGGCAGTGGAACATTTTATGGCCAAAATATGAAATTGATTTATTTCGTTTGCAGACACATCGTGTTAGCGGCGATGGTCGTGGCTGGGTTGATACGGTCTCTGTGCCATTATTCGCTGCCGATGGCACATCCTACATCTCCATATCGCCATTGCGTGATGGCAATTCGGGATACTTCCGTCATATCGTGCATGTCCATGTGGCCAGAAAGCGTGTCTTACCGCTGACACATGGCCAATATGAGGTGAAGCAACTGCTGCACTGGGATCAAGTTAACAACTGGATGTTAGTATTTTGGCCACAGATCAGCAATTATCAGCAATCACTTAATTCATTAATTTCCTTCTGTAGATATTTCCTTGGAGTACCCGAAAGATTACCCTCCCAACAACATTTGTATAGAGTGTTGGCATTGCCACCGCGACATGGCTCTGCCTTGCATGCTCCCGAATGTATAACCTGTCCGACACCCAAGAATGCCGACGGTTCCTATAATTATGAGGCCCACACAAAACCACCACCAAAATTGGTTACAGCCTGGGATGATGACTGGGAAAATTCCGAAGAAACTCCGGCAGTGGCTAGCCCAGCCTTGCCGTTGGAACAAAAACATCCCAAAGCGGCCAAAATTGCCGAGGCGGCCAGTGAGTGTTTGTATCACAATGCCAAATTTCCACCCAGTTATCAGGCGAAATTTGTGCTAATCGATTGTTTGGGTCCTGTGGTGCCCACTTCCAGCATTTACATCTTAAATTCAGGCACAACAGAACATCAAAACACCAACAACAATAATGGTCAGAACAATGGAAACGCCAAACCACGCCTGCCCTTAGAACTGTTGGTGACAATACAAAACAATACCCGTCTAAAGGAGAAAATGGCGCGCACAGCCATGCCACAAGTCAAAACATTCCCCGTCATGATCTCGGGAGGCTATCATGCCCAAGTAAGACTTTACTTGCCACCGGTTCTGCGGGAAGATGAAATCACCAAATATCCTACAATTCTGCATGTCTATTCGGGGCCCGGTACCCAGTTGGTGACAGATAAATGGCATGTGGACTGGAATACCTACTTGGCGGGTAACAAAGATTACATTGTCATTGAAATTGATGGACGAGGTTCATCGGGGCAGGGTTATCAGTTGCTGCACGAGGTCTACAAGAGATTGGGTACCGTTGAGGTGTCCGATCAATTGGAGGTCAGTGAATATCTGAGGGATAATTTGCACTTCATTGATGGTCGGCGCATGGGTGTTTGGGGTTGGAGTTATGGCGGCTATACTGCGGCCTTGGCTCTGGCGGGTACTCAATCCATTTTCCAGTGTGGCATTAGTGTTAGTCCGGTTACCAATTGGAAGTTATATGGTAAGGGGATATTTTTTTGAAAATCTAGAATATGTTTGTAAATTTCCCCCCAAATCCTTTCCACAGATTCCACATATGCCGAACGGTATTTAAGTTTTCCCAATGTTACCGACAACTACAAGGGCTATGAAGAAGGTGATCTCTCAAAATATGTAGACAATTTGCGGGACAAACAATTCCTTTTGATTCACGGCACAGCCGATGACAATGTTCATGTGCAACAATCCATGGTCCTGGCTCGGGCCCTGACCAACAAAGGTGTCCTCTACAAACAGCAAATTTATCCCGACGAAGGCCATCAACTGTCGGGTGTCAAGCGACATCTGTATCGTTCCATGACTGCTTTCTATGAGGAATGTTTTAAGAAATTGGTAAGTTAATGGCTTTGATTTGCTTGCAATTGGTATTTTGGAACACCACCTAATTTGTTCTCAACTATTCGGCTCTTTCTATATATTCTGTATATTATTCCAACATTTTTTTGATATTCAATCTTTCATATCTTCTTTCACCTAACACTTTTCAAAAAAACAACACCAACAACAACTTCTTCTACTATTAACACTTTTTAACAACACTTTGACAATCACCGCCACTACCACTCTGTAACACCAACAAATCACCATCAACACCACCACCACCACCGGATCATCATTAATCCTCCTATAGCTTGATCAGCAGCAGGCTAATCAAACCGATTACTCGGATTTCTTGGACTTTCATAGCTTTTATACATAAATTAATGTTCGTAAACGTAACGTAACGTAACCTAGATGTAACGTAACGTTCCCGTCAAAGAGCACCAAACCCTTATGTACAGTTTCTAACCGAACAAACCAAAAATATAAAAAAAAAACAACTCACAATACCACCTACCTATCTACCTATCTCTACCTACCTACCGAACTTAATAAAAAAAATAAAATAATGCATCCACTGTGTATACAACAACGTGACCACTACAACCACCAACATCACGACCACCACCAACAAAAAAAAGGTATCCCAACCAATACCATCAATACAATTGTGTATAGCAAATTAAATAAAATTATTATTTTTATTCTTTTTGAAAACAAAAAAAATCAAAAAAGCTTTAAGGAAGAAAATGTGCATTGATGTTGTTGTTTGCTCTAACATTAACGTACGTTTTTTTGTATGTCTGTCTGAGTGTGTCTGTGTGTGTTCATATTTTCTTCTTTTTATTTTATTTAATTTTTTGTTCAAATTTAAATGTTTTAGGTGTTATTTTTTATGAATATACACCTTGTGTGTAATTGTATGTGTGGCTTATTTTAAAAAGGGGTTGATCCTTAGAAGCGGGCTTTCAAATATTTCGATTGAGAATAATTGTTTTTTTATAAGATGTCGTGTTCATCCTTTAACTAAATTTTAAGAAAATCTGTACAAACATTCACGGTCTATCTAAATGTCTCTGGAGCGTAATAAAATACTACCAAGGGAATTTGACAGTACAAGCTAATTCGGCTGGAATTGTGTGCTAGTAACAGAAAAGGGGAACTTTTCTAGTGGCGATTTTCCGTAGCGAAAAGATTTCAGATGCAATTTCTAACAAATTAGCTGTAAAGTTTTGTTTCGGGTTCCCAGCTAGTAGGTTTCTCATCACTGAAAAAAATGAATTTTATTCATTTAGATCCACCACAAGCGCCATACACAGAAATGCATTTCCAAACCCCTTTTGGGAGGGGCCCAACTAGCAAAAAAGTAACTTTTTTCATTGACATTTCGGAGTAGACCTGGTCCTCTTCACTGTGTATGTCCCTGGTTCACCATCAATATAGCTCTTATTTAACGCTATACCTTGATTTCAGCCGACATAGAGTTTTCTCATTGGATTGAATTATGTCTTGCAATTTCTGTGAAACACTATTTGATCTAGCACTAAATGGGGCCTCCTTATCTTTTGTGTTTTTAAGGTTACAGGCACAATATCCAACTGAATTTAAAACAAACAATTTTGTTCGGGTTCAGGTTTTTAATGAAATTATCAACTGAATATGTGAATAGATCCACTATCCCAAAAATATTCAATGATTGCACAGGTTTTTAAATACCGTCAATGTGACAATTTCTCCAGATTTGAGAGATTTTTAAAGCTTTAGCAATATATTCCAACAGATTTGGATATAATTTAAGTTTCCTTATGTCAGGGGGCTGCTTCTACTGGCTTCTAGTTTAAAGATGCCTGGAAGCTTTGGCGGGACTCCAAATTGACGAATTTTTTTACATGGATTTACAAAAATTTACAAAACTTAAATTTAATTTAATATTTCAAGGATCTTATAGTCCACGAATATTAATGGAGTAATTTCAGAAAATTTCCAAAAACTAAATTTCTCAAGGTTTTTTTTTCAAATTATAAATAGAATTTTTTGATTTTGGGCCTGTCAGAGATGATACATATTAAGAAAATTACTATTGCCATGAGTTTACGATCACTGCGTCCCACCACAAATAGACTGATCTTTGCTACTATTCCTCTGACTCGCCCTAAACTCCTCAACAGGTTCTTTCCAAAAAAATAATTCTTTGGTTCCCTCTGAAATTAGATCTCTTAAAACTTTCGCTTGGCTTGGGTGAAACTATACAAGTAAAAAGACATTAAGTTCGGCCGAACTTCTAATATCCTCCACCATTGAGTAAAGAAAACATTTGTCTGCAAAAGTATCTGGATTCAAACGTGTTCCACTTTAAACTACAAACTTCAGTAAAATCGGTAGTATAATGGTTGGAGCCGTTACATGGGTGCCATACTAAAACGGAATCCTACATAAATAATTTTATACTACGACGATTGTAATCTCTTGCGAGTCTTAAATATCAAATTTTACATAATTTCGTGGGTAAATGTGACTAGGATGACTAAGACCAATATTGACAATATTCTGCTAGCTCCGAACTACAAATCCGTTGGAAAACGCGGTTAAAACCATCAACATACCGAATGTCGGGAGGTACCGTTTTATGAAGGCTATACGAAAACGTGGAAACTATATAACCAATGTTCTGTCACCTAAGCTGGAACCCATAACGAATTAAAAATATTAATTTCGAGACAAAATCTTGAAAAAATCATCAAAATACCGAATATCGGAAGGTACTGTTATACGGGGGCTATACGAAATCGGGGACTTATATGTACAATATTCCGCCACTATAGCTAGAACCCATAACGATCTGCAAATACCAATTTTTAGACAAATTGATGGAAATATGTGGCTAAAACTATTAAAATACAGAATAACGAGAAGTACCGTTATATGGGGGCTATCCAAAAATGTGGACCGATATATCTCATTTTCAATACCAACCATCCTTAAACAAAGCAAAAATTTTAAAAAGCTCTAAATTTTAAAACTCTACATTAAATAATGAGAGCTGTATTGTGATTTCAATTCGATATTTTTTTTTTTTTTTTTTTGATTTTGACCCCAATATTTCAGTTTATTTTAATATTTTATAAAATATCCCTACATCACATAAATCTAAGCTAAACTCCATAACATTTTCAAGATAAGGATCTGGTTTTTACGAAGAAAAATATGAAAATTTTCAATAAATAACAAATATATGTTTTCTTCAACATTTTTATGTTCTCTAAGTGTCGCCTAAAAGCAGACTACCTCAATCACGTTACTATAACACATTGTGTTTGCATAAATGTTACACCTACACACACACATACATATATACGCATATGCCTAAAAGTGTGCTTGTTTTTAAGGCTGCTTCTGTTCCTTTCGTTCTTTTCAAAATTCCTAACATACACACCTACAATGCAATACAATCCAACTCTCACCCCAATCAAAGCAACAAAAAAAACGAACACAAATATTTTTCAAAATATCTTAATGTTGTTCTTTTATGTTACCAACAAATGAAAATAAACAAAACAAAAACACAATGTGCCTGATTTTCTGTGTATTTTTGTTTTATGGAATATTTTACTTTCTTTTGCTAATGTCTTTATGTTTCCCTTCATCATTCTTCATCTTAATAGGTCCCACCTGAATCAAAGGCCGGCCTGGGAAATGGTGGTGATAATCAACCGCAATAAATCTTTCGATAAGGAACAACTTGGAGCTGGAGCCAAGTGAAGGTTGCACCCACCAAAACTTCAATTTATTATGAAATTTGTGTTATAACAAATGAAAGGACAAGAACAACAGCAACCATGGAAAACATGAGCCAGCCAGACCAGACCTGAACTTATCAAATTTTGAATTGAAATAACGAAAGCTGAAACTGTAATCAAATCGGTGAAAATTAGCTATTAGCAGCAGCAGCAGCAAGCCAAACACAGCCTCCATTAAGAATGTGAAAACAATATATGGTTGTGAATATTTCGAACAAGCACCTAAAAATATGCAACAATTATATATATACAAACACAAACCATTAACAACCAAATAACAACTAAAAGCATCCAGAATAATGACAAAAAACACACGCACGCACACATCCATGACGACAACGACAACAGTTGCCTGTCGGGCGTTGAATTGCAGCAGCAATGGAAAGTCATGAAGCCAAAACGACAACGGCAGCACCAGCACCAGCAGCCACCACACTTAGGGTAATACCAAAATGAAAATGATATTAAAAAAATCCATTAACATGAATTGAATATTACCACAAAATGTGAACAGTAAAATAATGGCGAACACAAAGCTAAATTCAATTAAAACAATAACCAGGTCATGCAATACAGTGGATACACTTTTCGAGGTAATTTGAAACAAATTTAAAAATTTCCTAATTTTTATCTGCTAGAGAGAAGGGTCTCCAATGAAAAAAAAATATATGTAAAACTTTTAAGCACACGGGGTGAGATAAAAAAACTACAACAAAGTCAAGCGCCATAATTTTAATATATATTTAAATTTTATTGAATAAAAGCAGAAAATGTCGGTAATAGCATCAAATTTTAGAATAAGTTTAGATTTGTTCGAATTGATCACCTTTGGCATGAATTATGGCCTTCAAACTGCCAATGAAACTGTCACACGCTGCCCAAATGTTGCTCTGCGGTATTTTGGGCCGTTCCCGGCGAAGCGCATGCTTGAGGTGATCGCCACTTTGGTATTTTTTAGTGCCAACCTTGCTTTACAAAATACTCCAGACACAATAGTCCGACGGATTGGTATCCGGAGATTTTGGTGGCCATTGTGCGCTGGAAATGAAGCGAGGAACCTCATTTTGTAACCATTCTTGGGTGGCGCGTGCTGAGTGCGATGGTGCTGAGTCCTGTTGAAATGTCCAAGGTCTGCGGCCAAAATGTTTGCGTGCACAAGGCTTTTATACACCCTCCAGAATATTTTCGCGATAATATTCGGCATTTATTCTGATGCCACGGTCAATTAATACGAGCGGAGATCGACCATCGGCTGTTATGGCGGCCCACACCATCACCATAGCCGGCGCTTGAGTTCTGGTAGCCAACTGAAGGTGCCTAATTCCAGCTAACCTCTTTGGCAAGTAAACACGATCAATTTGATTGTTTAAAAACTGCTAGACAACGAATTTTTTCTCATCGAAGATAACCAAATTCGGCAGTGTACCACTTTCGGCCAAGCGAAGCAACTCTTTAGCTCTTTTGAGTCTATTTTCTTTCGGTTGCGGTGTAAGTTCTTGCACTTTTTGGAATTTCAATGGCTTTGCCCGAGCTCATTTTTCAATATATGCCGAATGGAATATTGCGATATGTTCAGCTCACGACATGTTCTTTTGTCGGCCACTGAAACGCGGTTTTCGATCAAGTCGCTTATTTAATTTTCGAACCATTTCTGCTGATGTTGTTTCTTTCTTTCTTCCGCTGTATCACGGTAACGAGCGATGGTACGAGACACAAAAGATTTATTCACATTTAAATGCTGGAGTGCTCTAACGATAGCCACTTTCGTTTTCTAGCCAAATATAAAGAAATCGCACTATCACGCTTGAATTCCATTACGAATAACTTTTTTTTCTGGAAAATTCTCGCCAAAATGCTTTTGTACGCTTGTAAACAATATAATGAGCTGTCACTGGAATAATTTTAATAGCTGTCGGACGAGTGGCTTAAAAATGAGAGCAGTCTGAAGTTGGTTGCATTTTTTCATCTCACCCTGTATATGTAATATCTTATCCAAATATCACAATTCAGTGCAATGGAGTCCATAAATTCAAGCCTAAGTTTTTTCACATCCTAATTGTTCAAAATTGGTTTATTTCGAGTCTATCACAGTACAATAAATGAGTATTTTCCATTTCAAATCTACATTTAAATAAATTTCACAAGGTTATTCTAAATCCTTTGACTACCTTCAATTTTCCTTCCTCTGATGTATACCCGCCATTCAATTTCGGAACGGATCCACTGTATCTGAAACGGCTGCGTGCGTGCTCCTATATGTGTGTGTATGCGTAATAGAAAAAAACAATAAGCAAATGCAAACATTAAGTGCAATAAATAATCAAAATGAAATAGCAACAGGACATTTCCACAAAAACCTCCAGTTTGTATGTCACAGAATAATCTCCATAACCACATCCCTCAAAGGAAAAATAAAATAAAAAATAAACATCCACACACACACTTTGTTTTACACAAAATGTAAAACAATTAGAACAGTTATTAAAATTGAAATAAAAACTAATTTATATATAACTGACAATTACAACCAAAACATTGCTTGTTTGCTATGTATGTAAGTTCGATTCGATAATTTAGAAGAGTTCAATGTTTTCTTCGGTTCTCCTATAACAAAACAAAAAATACAACAAAACCACAAAGGAATTAGCTTTAATCAGTATTCGAAACAAAATTTAAAATAAAAAAAAAAATGTGAAACTATAAATGCAATAATAAATTAAATCTAGAAATGAAAACCAAAATAGATTATTGCCATAAATAGACAGCAAATATTTGGTAAATTATTTGTTCGCCCAAAAAAAAAAAATAATAATAAAATAAAATTGATAAAAATTATTTTTTTTCCTTCCCCAAATATAATTAATTATATTATTATGAATATCAATTAGTACAAATTGCTCCAATTGTTTTAATTAATTTAATTTGTATCTAGTGCAAAATCCCAATTAATAATACTCTACATAAATTAAAGAAGATCAAGAAAAACAAATTCTGAACCCCAATAACAATACCCTTCTCAGAAAAATTAAAACGGAACAGAAATACAACGTAGACTAAACTTAAAGCAAAAGATTTAATTCATTAAAAAAAAAAAAACTTTTAGAAATATATTATTATATGTCTGTCCTAAAATCATACCCCTCTTTTCCTTAAAAAAGGTTAGCCTGGAAGTATGCAAGAAATTATTGAAAGTTATGGTTTTACTATTTAATGCAAGAAGATATTGGACTGATAAAACATTTTTTGGGTAATTTGCAGTTTACAGAAAACAATGCGATCCTTTTAATCTTTCAACTGCCCGAATATATGCTACAGAAATGAAGGCAAATATTTGATCCGATTTGCTTGATTTTACTCGCATGTGAAAAATACTCGCTTACCTTCTGCCCGAAGAGTGAGAAGTATTCTCTTTTATGAGGCAAACGCTTGACTGTACTCCTGTTTGACAAGGAACGGAGCCCGTCGAAATTCTCTTATTTGGAGTATGATTTTACTTTAAGAGTGAAATCGAAAATAAATGTATTTTATGCTGCTTTGTGTGATCTGATGCTTTTTTCCTTTTGCAGCTGTGGTTTGAGAAAATACACGTTCATATAAATAAAACAATCGTATGACAAATACTAAAAGAGTTATCAATGTGTTTGATTTCTCTTTCGAGACGAGCTTAATGATCTGAAATTTGCAGTGAAAAGGAAAGCCAGATAGACACTATCACACACTCACCACTATGCGACGCGTTTCGCCGTTGGTTAAGCGGCTCATCAGGCATATTTGGTGTGGATGGTGGCATACAAGGGCCGTTCTCTGGAAAGTAGTATATATTTCGAACTAATTGCAAATTAGCATATGCGAATTATACACTAGAAACTCTTCAGGTTCGACTCAGGTTCTATTGGCAGATCTTTTTCACAGCAAAGTTTTTGTTTTTGTAGTGATGGATTTTTTGTCCACAACAACTACATTGCTTCCAATGCATACACTTGTTTTAGTGCTGCCCATTAACCCGTCTTCCTGAGTCGACCCTGGAGAGTTTCTAGTGTAAAATTCGCATATGCTAATTTGCAATAAGTTCGAAATATATACTACTTTCCAGAGAACGGCCCTTGTAAGCCATCATCCACACCAAATATGCCTGATGAGCCGCTTAACCAACGGCGAAATGCGTCGCATAGTGGTGAGTGTGTGATAGTGTCTATCTGGCTTTCTTTTTCACTGCAAATTTCAGATCATTAAGCTCGTCTCGAAAGAGAAATCAAACACATAAATCATAAAACATATGATCTTCGCCTTAATAAGGCAAAACTCAAGAGTTATCTACAAGAGTAAAATATGCTCGATTTCGAGCGAAATATATTTTCGAGTGGCATTTAATAATGGAGTATAGTCGATTTCGAATGAGTACTCCCACTCGAATTCGAGAGTGTAAAATTCGCTTTCGGGGCTCTCCTGCAAGCTCAAATCAAGCAATAATGCATTTTTCAAAATCAATGATTTTTACTTAACATTGCCATACTTTTACAAGGATAGCACATTTCTCAATGGAGGTTGTACAAGAGGAACACTGTTGATATTTTCCGTAAAATTTGTTAAAGTTCTCTCCAACTTATTTTGTCTTATTCCAATTTATTCGTCTTTTGTTCGCCATGGAACACTCTCATTTCCCCTTCCCATTCAATTAAATGAAATACATGTTCCAGCGTTTGTCACGTTTCCATATGGCCATTCAGACATATTTTAATAATATGAAACACACTTGGCTTTGAGCACTCCTAAGTATATATATTAAGAAATAATAAATTAATTTTATCAGATGAAAGACGTACACATATATGTACATGTGTATGTATTTCCATTAAAAAAAAAACCAAAAATCGATTGATGCTTAGATAATTTTAACCCCAATCTAAAACAGCTTAATTCTCTATGGCTCTATTTAATTTATGTTGGCAGGTCTTGACTTTGTTTTAACCTTTTTTGTGTTTGTGTGTTTTGGCACAAAGGACATTTGTCTTGCCTTTTATTCAACACCATTGGCTGGTTACTGGTGGCTAAATAGTTTAGTTGTCCTCCATTCAAGAGTGGTTGCTTACCAATGTTAAGACTTAATTGTCATTAGCCTTTTGCTCCTTTTTGATATACGCTCATTCAGCTACGCACACACATATACACCAACTAACGTTTTCGAATACAAAAACATACTCAAATCTTTTGTTAGATACCCAGTCAGACAAGTGGTCTTATGCTATGACCTCATATTGGAATATGTGTGAAAAAGAAGACAAAATAAACATTAAATCAGGCGATAAGGAGGTTAGTGGTCTCGAATGGAATTCAGCCTTTTTCTGTGGTGCAACATCTACAAAAAAAACAAATGGGGAGTAGATAAATTTGGAAAAAGTTGTGCTTGATTAATGATACGACTCGTATTGAACTTACAGAGACTGGAGTGGGTTGAAAATTTAATCAGATGCTCCAAGATGTTAAGTCCTTGACTTATTTCTTACTCTTTTTTTAGGTTGCTTCTTGAATTATCACCCTTTCTTCTTACTATTTCTATACAACATTTCAATATATTTGATTGCATACTTTTAGGCCTACAATTTTCAGCTCAGAAATTTGTATAAACAAAACTATTTTATTATTTGAATTGCAAATAAAATATCCTAGATCTGATACTACAACGTTTTATAGTAGCATTGTAAGGACCAATTATAAAAAAAAATTGTAACGCATTACCATTTAGAGTAGCAACTAATTAGAGATTCAAAAATGTTATCGATCAACATTGTAAGAATAATTAATAGCGGAAATCTGTATTTAAAATTAACTTCTCATATTAAATCTGTAATATACATATATTTTCAGAATACCAAAAACTTTAAAACTAAACTTTCTAGCTACACTTAAGGTGTGAGCACATGTCAAATTATAAGGAAAAAACGACGGCAGAATTCGAGTGCGGCTTTTGCATCCCTATATATGTCATATATATGTCACAAAATATGCCATGCGAAGACTTTAATCTGCTTATGTACTCACACCCTTATGGTCTGTTTTTTGTATGACGATTAAAAAGAGACCCATTCCTTCTAAATTTTGAATTTTTATTTAAATTAAAAATATGCTCTTGGCATTTGTGTTTTACTTTCGAATTGTCATACAGAAAAGGGCCCTTACTTTCCACGTTCAAAAAGAAAAACTTACAAACAAGCCTTAAAAATATTGTATTTGTTAATAAGAAAGAAAAAATACACACAATAATTGTAAATATTGTTATGTTTAATTTTTTGAATTGCGTTAACAACTAAATTAGAAATTGCGAAAACTAAAACGCCCTTTGTATAGATAAAATCTCTTTATAAAACCCCTTACATAAATATAAACATATAAACTTTGTGATCTGCAATACTTGAGAATTAAATTTAAAAATAAAAATCACTTCCGAAAAATCCCTTAGAAACTTAACTCTATACCAAAAAAAAAATACATTTAATTTTTGAAAATTTAATAATTATTATAGTAATAATTAAAAACTAATATTAATAAATTCATTAAATATAACTAAAACAAAACAGACGTTAGCGTTAAAATTATTAATAATAAAAAGAAATACCTAAATATTAGAGCATTTAATGAAATGGAATTATAATTAAAAAAATATTATCTAGAAGAAAATATTAAAAAATAAATACACACAAAAAATAATAATACAACTTTTAAGAATTACTTTAACATAAATAAAAGAATATAACATTTGAGTTTTATTGTAGAAACTGAATACAAAATGGCTGCAGTAAAATGGATCTACTTATTTCATATATTATGAATATTTTTTTTATTGGAGTCCGAGAAATCGTCGTATTTTTTCTCTTTTTTTAAATTTCATGCATTGGAATTTTTTTCAAAGGGGAGTGCGTTCATCGCTTCCAAGAAATTAACGAAAAGGTTAGAAACACTAATTTAAACACAAATATTCATTAAAACAAGTAACATTATGAATTTGTTGCCATATTTGCTGACGGTGGATGGTTTGTGGCTACGCTAAAGTAGTACACAGTTGACAAGAAACGTTCAAACTAACAATAACATAGTTGCATTACAATGTATGGAAATCATATGATTCCGATTTAGCCCTCAGTGTGGTTAAGGGGGTTTAATGCGACTCTTTTGATGGGCAATCATACGACAATTAAATTTCTAGCATTATTTATAAACATATCGAAACAAGTAAAAAAGCTGTAATAATAATATCCTCCATCATTTGGAACAAATTTAGCAATTTTCCAAAAAATAAAATCCGATAAAAATTCTTTTACAATAATAAAAATACCGAATATAGCCCTTATATTAGTGTCTATACGGCGACGTGGAACTGCATAGGCAACTTTTGTCATAAACCATTACAATATTCAAATGCGAAACATGAAAAAAAATTCGGTGAATAATGTAGCTAAAATCATCAAAATACCGAATATTGGGATGTACTAATATATGGGGGCAACTTTCTGTCATAGACTGTAGTATCCATTACGAACTTCAAATACCCAATTTGAAACAATTCCGGTGAATAATGTCGCTAAAATCTTTAAAATACCCAATATCGGGAGGTACCGTTATATGAAGGCTATACGAAGACGTGGACCTGCACAGAAAATTTTCTGTCTCAGGCTGTAGTATCCATTTTGAACTTCAAATACCAAATTTGAAACGAATTCGATGAATAATGTCGCTAAAATCATCAAAATATCGAATATCGCTAGGTACCGTTATATGGGGGCTATGGCAAAACGTGGACCCATGGCCCATTTTCAAGCCCAAAAGTCCTGGACACATAATATACACTTGAGTGAAATTTTATCAATCTACTTCATTTCGTTCGTAAGCTAGGGGGGATTCCACAGATGGACGGACATCACTAAATCGACATAGAATTTAATATGTATATTTCGAGATGTTACAAACGAAATGACAAACTTAATATACCCTCCATACTATGGTGGAGGGTATTAAAAAATAAAAGCAAGTTAAAAAGTAATACCCACAAACCCTTAGCCTATGTCAGCTTATTTACATATATTTTGACTTGCGTTATGATAATTCAAACTGTTGACACTTTATGGGGGAGGTACCGAAGTAGTTGTCCAATTTTTTCAATTTCGTATCTAGCATATATCCCACACTCAACCCCCGATCTTACGTTAATAAAATTTTTGGGAATTGTGAAATTTTAAGAGATTCGGATGCTTTATGACAGTTACAATTATTCAAAATGTTGACCATTTGTGGGTGAGGTAGTTGATGGAGTTGATCGATATTTTTTATTTTCCCATCTGACGTAGTACTGTTAAAAATGTTTTTGTGGGGGAGGTATCAGAAGGAGTGGACTGATATTACCCATCACCGAACTGGAGATAATAATATTACGATATGCCGGCTTTGGACCAAATCGAATACTTCCTCTAGAGTTATCGTGCACATTGGCCACATAGACAGACGGACACCGTTTTGTAACACCCCAAAATATTCCTAGGTTGTTTAACATTAATAACTCCATAGATTTTCGCTATCTAAGAAGTGTCTGATCCAATTCCCAAACAAATCATCTGAAATTTGGTAGTTCTTGTTCTCACTACTCGCGAAAATATTGAATTATATTGGAAAATTACAACTCTCACTACAACTAATTGGCAAGTATAAGATGTCAAAATTCATATCCCCCATATCTTGATTGTAAATAAAATATTTTTAATTATAAAATGTCCTGGATCTGAATGAGCAACCACTTTGCCATTTTGAAATGTTTTTAATTTGCCACTTTAGGGTTAATAACTGATAACTAAAAGTTGTTGATAAAGTGACATTTAACTAAGCAGCGAAACGCGATCAGTCAACTTGTAAACAACAGCGAAATCAAAATAAAAATTTATAATTGCGGCTAAATATCACCCAGAAAATGAATTAAAATGGAGTTACAACTAAACGACGACTGCCTACTACACATATTCGAATTACTTGATTTCGAGGATCAAATAAATCTGGTGGAAGTTTCTGAACACTTTAGATATCTTATCGTTTGCTGCCTGTGGTCGAAGAAATACCGGACTATTGATACTCAAATGAAATGTCTACAGCCACTGTCGATTGACCACTACAAGAAATTCTTCCATTACAATGCTGAAAACATAACAAAACTGGTGATCGAGGATACGAAGCCAAAACATTTTGCATTCACAAGTTATTTGAATCGCTTCAGTAATCGTCCGGAATTTTCTTTTTATTTCTCTTTAAAGATGGAAAACTTAAGAGAACTTCATTGCAATGACGCAAGACTACATAATGGTTATATACAAATACTGGCCCGGAATTGTCCCTTGTTGGCCGTACTCTACAGCAACAGTACCCATGTGACAGACACCTTTGTTATGGAACAATTTAAAATGCTACGTGAACTGAAATTGGGTAATAGAATCATAGCATTAGAGGAGAATTGCAGCAATGGAACCAATGAAACTCTTTGTGTTTGCTAAAGACACGGTTCGGACACGTAATTGCTATACCAACAATGGTATTAAGAGTACCTCCTTCAGATGGTAGTAGTAAACGTAGGTATTAGTTCATGTGGTCAGCTGTCAACATTCCCACAAAGAAACCCTACTTGTAGTACGTGGATGTTACTTATGTGTCACGAACAGAGTCGCAGTCATTTTAAATGTTTCATAAATTGTGATATTAGTTTATAGAATAAGTTAATTGTTGCATTTGAATAAAGTTGTTAATTGATACGTCCCTGTTTTTTGTCTTTTTTATTAGCCGTTTGAAAGTCAAATTTCTTCCAAGACACTTTAAGGCAACCATCAGCTAGAATGAGTTGTTGAATAAAAATCTATTAGTTACCATTTAATATTTAATACATTTGACATGATATGGTGGTGGTTAAATGTATGTGTTTGTAAGCTATGTGAAATAGTTTGCAATTTTCCAATCGTCTAAGTGAAAGTGTTTTTAAAATATTTAAATAAAGACAGTATCAATTTTATAACCGACATACGGTGGTGGTTGGCTCGGACAACGGAAAAATTTTCAGTAATAGTGAAAATAAATTGATTTTCTAAAAGACAGGTAGAAACAAACGAAATGAAGAAATAAAAAAGAAAGAAAACAAATGCCATGGAGAATTGAATCCTTCTGTTCTAAATCCGTGCTGCGAACTAAGCTAGAAAGATTATTAAACAATTTTTAGGGAGTGAAAATAACACTTTAAAATGTAATTAGAATGTGAAACATTTAAAGACAAAATCTCTGTTTAAACAATGGCATATATATTGCATAAATATGATGATCTAAAAAAACTTCATTCCAATAGAGAGAATTCTTTTGGTTTCATCTCCTTTAGATTTTACGCTAGACAAAAATAGCTACTGTGTGATTGAGACGTTAATGAGGTGGAATCCTTTATGTGGATTATACCAAACCATATACTCATTAAGAATGCTAAGTGTAAAATTGCAGCCTATGAATAGGCTTGCAGCTCTAAGAAGCCACGAGATTTAGTTCTGCTGATGCATGAAATAAAGCCTGCTGCAATTTTTACCTTTATATCATCTCAAGAAAAGTATTAGGGTAAATACATTTTGAACCAATTCCCATACTCCCATCAAGGATAGCTGAGCACAACAGCTGCTCAGACAAACATGAGTAGAAAGAATTCAAATTTACAGGATTTACAAAAACATATGTGGATTCCTTATTTGTAGCCCCATTGAATAGGCCTTAATGCGTCTGCAGCTATAAGGCTGAGGGTACGCAAATAAATCTGAACTTCTCTCAATATTCCTAATGAGTATAGGTATATGTCGTTTTGACATTTTAAGATCGATTGTTATAACAGATTGGGCTGACCTGAAAATCCTTAAGTTGTGCAAAGGGAAGATTGGAACGGCTTTTTTGGGAGGCTTTTGAGGAGGTCTCTGTGCCAACATTTGGTTTAATTCATAGTGCCAAATTACACCTCTAAATACCGAAGAATTAATTGATAATGTTGAAAAACTTACCCTGAATTCTTCAGATTTTTCGCAATATCCAGTTGAAGGTGACCATTTAACCATCATTTATGAAAATATGCCAATAATTTACAATTTTGTTCAGATTCTTTTCGCTAGTTATCACATTTGTATTTTAACTTCACAAAATACTCTCAATTCCATTAAAACACACACAACAATATATAAAAAAGCACAAAATTGCAACACTTTTCACAATTCTATTCAACTGCCAATATGAATAACACCAACGCGAACTTTCTTGCCCGAAAAGCTTAAAATGGCGGGAAGTGTGACTACAGCACTCAACTTGCAATGCCAAAAAAAACAATAGGCAACACACGCACATAAACTGATCTTTCTTAGTAATATGTACACGAAATTGATAAAATATTCTCTGCTCGATGGCTTTAAACTGACATTTCATTGATTATGAATAAATTAAACCATAAATTTAAGCCAAAATTACTTTAATTCACTGCCACAAACGCAAAAATTAAACCCGACGAGAAAGAAACACGGAAACAGACTAACGAACACGAAACAAAACTGAAGTGTTGCCAGCATCGATTTTTTTCGCAAGACACTGTTCTCCCTTTCGTATGGGAAATCACTGTGAATTGATAACATGAAATGATAACACGGCGATAACACTACTTGATAAATTATTCGATTACTTTCATTATCGAAAGCAAAACAAATCGACTTTTTTGTTATTGAAGTTTTTTTTCTGTCATCGGATTCGTAAAATAATAAAGAGCAATAAAAGAGGTGGTTTTTTGTTAAATAAGTTCAGTCGTGTTTTAAATTTTCACAGAATATAAAGCTTGCAATCATTGAGAAGCTCTTTTGCCAACATCTATTGGAAATGTTTCACAGGATATTTGTGGAAAATTAAATGCATTTTCATATCGCATTTCGAACTGACGATGTAAACTACCGCCGTGCGAGAGCGTGAGAATTGACATCTGTTGTGTATGACATTTGGTTTGATTGAGTGTATGTGGGTTTGTGTATGTTCATCTGTTTGTCTGTCGGAAAAAAGTCTTGTTTTCATTGAGACTCTCAGTTAATTCGCGGCGAGCAATGTTGTTATTTTTGTACACCTTATTATTTACTTTGTTTTTGCGCGAAAAAGGACACAAAACAAAATAGAAACTTGCCAAGAAGAATTGAATTAAACCTAAAATACTAAAGTGCCAATAAATATAACACGTATGCCAACCAAATAACAAATTCTGTGAGGAACAACAAAGAAAAGATCAAAAGACTGACTGCCCTGGCTGCAATATGTTTCACATCCCAAGCAGAAGCTCCACGTACCAAAGCGAACAGGAGAGTCATCTGTGAAAAAACAACCAGCTGTAAATATTAGGTACTGTAGAAAATGTGTGACTAAATGCAGTGTTTCAAGCAGCAGCAAACCTACACAGCAGATCCTCGGGATTCATCTTCTCCTACTCCAGCACTGACACAAAACTTTCTGCTTTTTGAGAACTCGAATAATTGTGGCAGCATTTATCAGCACAACTCACCGCTGCACCAACATTCCCCGGTCAACAACAAAAACAACAACTGTGATAATTATACATCCGTAATATCGCCCACTAACAATAACAACGGCAACAATTCATCCTCGTCACCTTTGTCATCATCCCCGTACGGCTCCCAACTGCTACAAATGCCACATTTCGGTTTGGGTGGTGGTCCCGGCATGGCTAACAACGCATATGCACAGACACCACCTAGTCCGCCTTTGCATCATGCCGGCGGAGGCGGTGGAAATGGTGGCTTAATGCCACCAAGTCCACCACATCATCCTGGCCACAATCCCCATCAACAGCAACAACAACAGCAGCAACATCATCCCCATCTGGCCATGATTCCACGAAGTATGGGTAATCCGGGAGGTGGTGGTGGAGGATCAATCATGTCGACAGGACTAAATACATCGGTAAATTCAATATCATCTGCCACATCTTTCCGATCGCACATAGAAGAAAAGAAACTAACCCGCGAAGCAATGGAACGCTATATGAGGGAGCGTAATGATATGGTCATTGTAATATTGCACGCCAAGGTGAGTAAAAGTGTTTGTTGATCATGTAAATAATTAGAAAGATCTATGTGGAAAATGCGGTACATGGACATATCGGCCTAAATTTAGTGCAGTCACGTTCAGGGCCGGGAGTAGAATTCTTCAGGACCTTTCCTCAAATAGAAAAAAAATTCAAGGAGGAATGCAAAGATTGTTTAAAGGATGTGTGATCTTTTTTTTCGTTTATAAGGCAGGGATAAGGGAAATTTTCTTTCAGGTACATTTAAGCTATTGTAAATTATTTTTAAAATTCTTAAGCAAATGTCGAAATTTGAAAGCAAAATTGGATTTAATAGGAATACTCAATAATCAAAGGACTCAAAGAAGTTTTCCAAACTTCTAGGAGCTTATAATAGAAGCATCCTTGGTACAATTACTGCTAGGAGAAAAAAAATAAGAAGCAAATTACAAAAGCAGATAAGGTATCCACGCAATGTAGAACTCATCAAAACTATTTAAACGATCAAGTAACAGGTGATGCAAACAAAAAATAGATACATCCTTTTATACAAAATTACATATACTTTTGAATTTTTATTCTAATAGTTCCTATATGAGCTTATTAGTAAATAATATTTTTCTGATCAGCACAACAAAACCTATATATTTAAGACGGAGACAATACATTTAGCCAGCAACCAAAATTCTGACGTTCCATGTTAGAATATATTGATGTAGCTTCTTTTAGTAATTCCTATTTTCTAAAAATATAATTAGACTTTTAAGGTTTTCGCCGTTTTTTCTTAACTGTTATGTATATATATTTTATTAATAATTTATATCATAACATGTATTCAGTGACCAGATCTATTTGTAACACGGCACATTGGACTTCATGGTAGGTGATATATTTTAAAACGGATTTAAATGGATACACTTCACCACGTTAATAATTAAAGATAAGATTCCCCTACATTTGTGTCTTTTAAGAACCTAAAATACCAAATTGTTGCCCAGTTATTTTAAACATTTTACTAGGACATTCAAAGTACCCATATTTGGGTGATAACGTTCTATGGGGCCCTTCTAAATCCTGGTTATAAAGAATTCAGAATATTAATTTAGCAATACCTGTAGGAAAATGTAATCAGGATTAGGACAGTTAGAAAGCATGAAATGCTTTTCAATAATGACTTTATTGGCAAAAAATTAATTTTGCTGGGAGGGTATATATCATTTGATACGGACCAAATCCGTTTCAGGACATTTGGAGTCGATCTAGCCATGCCGTCCGTCTGTCTGGCTGGCTGGCTGGCTGGCTTGTGCTTGACGAAAACTCTCGAAGGGAGTATCCGATTTGATCCAAACTTGGTACATCGTATTATTAATGTCAAACTTAGATCGAGTTGGGAAATGGGTAATATCGATCCACTCATTCTGGTACCTCGCCCACAAAATGTCAACTTTTTTAAAGAAAATAATTTACTCTACAGAAAGAGAAAGGATAATTCGATTTGGCTTCAACATTGCAAAACCTAATATTTGCATCAGTGCCTCGTCAGGAGAGAAAATGGACACAAATGTTCAATTTTGAATTTGATCTGTTGTGAAGAATATATATATCTGCTAACCACTTCTGGTACCTCAACCACAAAGAGTCACAATTTTCAATACTTTTATCTGTCATAAATTGCGAATCAAGTCGTCATAAATTTTCTTAACCAGAAATCTGATTTGAATATGTAATTTATCGAAAATTATGATTTCGCATAAAATTGGATATAATAGTCAGATTTCCTCCAAATTTTGCACATACCAATATTTTTATCTGTATTAAATGAAATATTTCGGTCCACTATATCTGTTACCTATACATGTTTCCACATTTGCACATATCTCATATTAAGTATAGGAAGTAGTCGGTATAGTCCAAACCCGGCACTTTGTAATATTTACATCTGTGTCAACAGTTTGAATATTCATAACCCTGTCGACAAAACCGACTGATACTTTTTACTTGTTTTTTTACAGAAAAAGTAACAAAATTGCGGAAAACAAATAGGCTTGTATAAATGCAAGAGGCAAGTTCAAAAGAGAAGGATACAAATTGTCGCATATAAACTCGCCTAATCTAAAGCTAATCTAAAGCTGGACTATGCCTCAATTTTGCCCAACATATTTTTCAACTTCACTTCTACTCCACAAAACAAAGCTCTAACTATGTATTTGAAAATAGGAATAATTTGTTGTTTGGTTTTTTTTACGGTGAAGCTGTTCTTCGCCTGTTTATTTTCCTTCATTGATATATAAAAAAAGTTCAATACGTCTGCTTTAGCTTTAAATTCTTTTAAATTGCCATTCTTCATATTTTCTGTAAAGTTATCACATATTGTCTCTTGTGTACAAATTAAAAAACAAAAGGAGTTGCCAGGAACCAGTCTGTATGAGCCATTTATACCATTTACCATCTATATACTTCTCATTTCTACAAGCAGGAACTCACCACAAGTAAACATGGCAAATGTGATTTTTAACTTAAAGAAGTGAAACCCTATCCGTTGTTATTTGTTAAATATTTTCAAGCCCTACAAATTTCCACTTGACCCATACCACATTGACCGCACCACGGCATGGCAAAACATTTTCATCATAGCACTTTGATGAAAAATCTCACGAAATAATAGGCCCCCAAAAAATGTGTGTGTCCAACAAATAGTCCAAAAAAAAAAACAAGCACCTGATTAAAACCCTTTTAAGCATGCGCTCTGTAAACCACTGCTATGGATAAGCAAGCTTTTTTTGTCATAATTTTTTTCCGAACCAAAGTGGTTGACAACATCTCATTTAGTGCTCGTTGTTCTGACCACAAAAATATTTTTTTCGTTCTTCAATCATTTCTATGCCTTCGGAATCTCTGTTCCAAGCAACAGCGACGGCGACAACAACAAAATAATTGCATACAACAAAGCACGGCCAACAAAAAATGCCATTAGAGTTATGATTAGGAATTTAATTGTATTACAACTTTAATTAAACTAAGGCGCACTTGACTTGCAGCTGATTCTGATAATTTGTTCGCTGAATGCGTTCAGTGAGGTGTGAAGGATGTGAGAAGCCAACGTCAACGGACAGATGTTACAGAGCAGTGCTTGCTGCGTTAATCGTGTTTGGCTCACCTTTTGGCCACAATAAAGAACTTTTTTCCTCACTTTGGTGGTTTTGCATAATTAAGGGGGATTTGAATGCATTGGCATTCATTTGTCGGTTGGCGGAATAAAAAGAGATCAGGGCAGGGCACAAGCAACCATCCACCAAGAATTTCCCATGACAATTTTTGCATATTTTGATTGAAATGCCAAACTATTTTCAATGTGGTCAAGTTATTATTTGCATTCATAAGGCATTTGATTTGCTTACCTTTTGTTTCGTTTATTATCTTGCAGGTTGCCCAGAAATCTTATGGTAATGAGAAACGTTTCTTCTGCCCGCCACCATGCATTTACCTGTTTGGCAGTGGTTGGCGCAGACGTTACGAAGAAATGCTGCAGAAGGGTGAGGGTGAACAGGGGGCTCAACTGTGTGCATTTATTGGCATTGGAAGTGCGGACCAGGATATGCAACAACTGGACTTGAATGGCAAACAATACTGTGCCGCGAAGACCTTATTTATTTCCGATTCGGATAAACGCAAACATTTCATGCTGTCCGTGAAGATGTTCTATGGCAACGGTCATGACATTGGGGTCTTCAATTCGAAACGGATCAAAGTGATCTCGAAGCCTTCCAAAAAGAAACAATCCCTAAAAAACGCCGACCTTTGTATAGCCAGCGGTACCAATGTGGCGCTATTTAATCGGCTGAGATCACAAACGGTATCTACGCGTTACCTTCACGTGGAAAATGGCCATTTCCATGCATCGTCTACACAATGGGGTGCATTTACAATACATCTGTTGGATGACAATGAATCGGAGTCTGAAGAATTTCAAGTTCGTGATGGCTATATACATTATGGTGCCACGGTAAAACTGGTGTGTTCGGTAACGGGGATGGCGTTACCACGTTTAATTATCCGTAAAGTGGACAAACAAATGGCCTTGTTGGAGGCCGATGATCCAGTCTCACAGCTGCATAAATGTGCTTTCTACATGAAGGATACGGATCGCATGTATTTGTGTTTATCACAAGAGAAGATAATACAGTTTCAGGCGACACCCTGTCCCAAGGAACCGAATAAAGAGATGATAAATGACGGTGCCTGCTGGACAATTATATCAACGGATAAAGCCGAATATCAATTCTATGAAGGAATGGGACCTGTCTCGTAAGTTTTAAAAATACTTTACAAACAACTTCTTCTTTCTGAAAATGTTTACAGACTATTCAAATTTTTAGTCTTAAAATAAATATTTTGATTATGAATAGTTAATTAATTTTTGTTTTTTTTTTCTTTGCATTTCATTTCAGTTCTCCCGTCACACCTGTCCCTATAGTAAATTCCCTGAATCTCAATGGCGGTGGTGATGTTGCTATGCTAGAATTAAGTGGTGACAATTTTACCCCGCATTTACAAGTTTGGTTTGGCGATGTTGAAGCTGAAACGATGTATCGTTGCACAGAAACGCTTCTATGTGTGGTGCCCGAAATATCTCAATTTCGCGGTGAATGGTTGTGGGTAAGTAAATAATAAATCAATTCTTTATAAAATATTTTTTTAGATATTTTTAATTGTGAGAGGAGCCGTTATTGTACGAATTTAAAGGTTTCGAAACCAATAATCTACTTTATTGTTATAATTTTAATTATGTTAATTAATTTTCTAAAACGTCTTCGACCTTTTTGATTGTTTGCAAAAGTGAAAAGTTTTTAAAAGTGTTTACTACGTTAACCGATAGTCCCTTTATGATATCGAAAAAATGCAAAATAGTAGATTCTTGTAGATTCTGCAACAGCCTAATAGATTGACAATTTCGATTCGATATATTAACAATAATTCCTTGTCGCCGTCTGAAACAAAACTAATAAGAATAGGAGGGATTTTCCCATGAAATGGCTCAAGGTTGAGTCTTAATACAAAACAAACATATTTAGTTCATTTTTTAATCGGAACAATCTTAAAAGTTTCCATTTAGATACGAGAGTATTGCCATGGCCAGTATACACTCCTCGATCATTTCATTTCATTTTTTCAACTAGTTTTATAATGCGCATTTTTCGTTTTGTGTCTTCCTTTAGGTTCGACATCCTACTCAAGTGCCTATATCTTTAGTACGCAATGATGGTATCATCTATGCAACAGGTCTAACGTTTACATACACCCCCGAGCCAGGACCTCGTCCCCACTGTACACAAGCTGATGATGTTATGCGTACGTCGCGACTCAATAACAATAACATAACAACAATGAGTAATAACAACAGCAGCAGTAATCTCGCCTCGGCCCATTCGCCCGGTGAGTCTGGCCTAAATGCCAACAACAACCATATGCAGCAGCAGCAGCAACAACAGCAGCAGACATTGCCATCAATGTCGGAAGTGCAATGGAATACTCATGGCGGCGGTTTGTCCTGAGTGCTGGCCAGTGTTTTTGGTTGGCATTACAAAATAATTTTGTAACCCATGAGAACAGTTCATTTGCATGAATATTTATTTGAAATTATCATTGTGTTTTTAAATTTCAACCTCCCATCTTCCCATGCCACTCAACAACCAAACGTTTTAAAATGTCCCATACCACACACAAACATTCTTGTCATTTCCAGATTTAATAATTTCTTTAATATTATTAAGATAAAAACAAAGATTTTTTTATATTTTATCCAAAATTTTAGTATTATTTATAGTTTTTTATTATTATAAAAATTTATATTAACACGAGTATTGTATATAATATTGAGAGTTCTTTTTTCAAATCATGTAGCTTCATTTAATGCATACATTTATTTTATGTAGTAATACTGTAAGGAAACATGTATTTATATACATAATATAAGAAGGAAAACCGCATTTTATATATACATACACCCAAAAAGAAAAACATAAATTGCATATACATTCTAGATATATATAAAAGTTAACTTATAACTTGATGATAAGGTCTTTTATATGAATAACTTAAAAATTATATATAATGTTTTATGTGACACACATAAACCGTAGGCCTAATATACTTTTAATCTATAATCTAAAGATGTTTCACAGAACAAACAAGAAAAAGACAACAGAAAACCACATAGTTTTAATTTATTTATAAACATTTACAAAAAAGAAAACATGATGCTACAGCAAAAATAAAATATATATAAAGGGATCAAGTCGAAATGCGATACGGCCTCATCAATTAAATTTCACTTGCTCAACTCGAAAGAGGAAATGATTAAATTTTTATTAAGTTTTAAAGATAATTGTGTCCTTAATGTAAAATCTTCAAAATCTACACTTAATGCTACATTAAAATATATAACGATTAACCTTTAGGAGATGCTGCCAAATCTTGGGTATGAAAATCATGATGGTAAAATTCAGACGATAAAAGACCCTATTTGCATAACTTAGAACGTTTAAATTTTTCAAAAATAAAAAAATCTCAGCATTCCACTCAAATCAATCAATCAATCAATCGAAAACTTATTTAAATTGTAAAAATATTAACCATGGCTAATCATTGTTCGCATTACGAATAGGTCACTTGGAATGTACAACATTTTTAACATTGTAGCGCCGTGTAACTTGGAACAAACAGAAAAGAAAATCCACCCTATGAACAAACAACCCACAAAAATACAGTATATACAATTAAGAAATAAAAACAAATTCGTATTTTTTAAAAAAAGTAATCTGCATTTTTGCCTTTTCATTTTGTTTGAATTGTGGGAAAATCTTAGGTTGGGGCGCTGTGATGACACCAGGGTGGTGAATATGTTTATGGTAAGAAATTTCCCCTTCGTCTTTTCAAGGGATCTGATAAGAAAATAACTATGATTATGAAGAACTCTTGAACTTGCATGATTCCACGATTCGTCAAAAGAGCAGAAACCAAAAGAGGGAGAGAAAAATTCCCACCAAAGGAAAAAATGTTGCATGTCGAAATCTTTTGTTTTCTTTAAGACATCTTGGAACGAAAAATCAACCACCACTGCCACGGCAAGAAGACACCTCATGTTTGTGGTGGGAAAATAGTTGACGACAGTGTGGTTTTCAATGAGAAATTAGAATTTCTAATAAGCCAAGACATGTCAAGATCGTTGGTCATATGAAGCAACCCCCGTCTGCTTCTTATAGGAATGCCAAGCAACTCCTGAAGAAAAAGAATGTCTTAATGAGAAACACCAAGTAAATACGCTCTTCCTCTTACAAACATCCTGAAGAAAAAGAATGTCTTAATGAGAAACACCAAGTAAATACGCTCTTCCTCTTACAAACATGCTTGACTGCACCAAAAAGCCAAGAAACCAGTGAAAATATATTTTCTTAACAGCCAAGTTAATTATGCCTTGAAGTTCTTAAGACCAACTTCATTTTCACACGCTAAATTATAGATGTTGTAAAAACAGAAGAAAAAGAATTTTTAACCGCCACCAACATTGCGACAACAATGAAAAATCAAAACTGCGTGGGAATTTATTGCAAACAAGGAGGGTGGGTTGTAGGTTTTCTTCTTCGTCTTGGAATTGTCTTACGATTTTATTTCGTTTATTATGACCAAAAAAAGAGAGAGGGTGATCACCAACTATTTCTGCTTCTTTAATGGCTATTTTGTGTGTTTGTAACTTTTTTTGCGGCCACAAGTTAATAAATTTCATAAAAAATGTAAATGCTGTCCATGTATGTTTTTTCATGGGAAATGACTATCATTTGGAAAGGTTCCTTCCTACATTCAGTTGATTTGGGATTTTCTCATAATACAAATTTTTCATGATTTAAGAAGTAAAGATTGCATCTGAACTGCAAAATAAATTCAACTATCAATAAAAATCACTCACCGTGCTTTTCGTATCAAATTGAGGAAAATACGTAATCTGTATCCACACACATACTGTATGAATATAAATCTGGTGCAGATTTCAAGATATTTTGGAAAACTATGCAACGATTTTTCATCTAATCAAAAAGTTAATGCCCCGGGTGAGGCTCGAACTCACGACCTTAAGATTATGAGACTTACGCGCTGCCTACTGCGCCACCGAGGCTGTGTCTTATGCAAATTATTTCTGCAATGATCATTCATTGCGAAACAAATTTTAAACGTCCTTTTAAGAATCAATTCTAGGTAATTTTAACCTGCATACTGTCAAATGTTATCAGTACACTTACTTGCATATTTCCCATTATATAGCGGGGATGCAGATGAATAAAAAATGAACTTGTGACTCCTCTGTTTTAATTCGCGCTTAAATTTAAATGAACAAAGCTGAATTTGTATAAAACATCGATACTTTAAGGTCTTACCTGGAGCTAAAAAATAGTTATTTTAGGGTTCTTCAACATTTTTTCGGCAAAGATTTATACGTGGGGTTTCCAAATATCTAAAAAAACATCAGAGATATTATTTACTAATACTGGTATAATCCTCGATTCTTTGGTGGATTTAAAGAGAATTGTTACCAAATGGCCATAAAATTGAGAATTTTTTAGGAATACTTTTTGATGGATTTAAAGGAGAAGTGAAAATCCACCAAGGGTAGATTTTCAAGAATTTAACCAGTAAGAAAAGTCTAAACCAATATGGATATTTAGTAGATTCGCTTGTAGCAATTTAGCGTTCATATTGGCAATTGAAGTATTAATTTCGTATTAAGGCTTTAGAAAGTTTTAAATTTAAAACTAAGTCTGCAATCCACTTGCATTTGTAGACTTCGTGAACTTGTTGAACGGAATCGAACCATTTTTTTTAAACTTGAAATACGGTTTTTGGTTTGTATCAAAAGATTTGTTAAACCATGGTTCATTTACAGAAATAGCGGTTCGGTTCAAACCCGATTCGGTCGGATCTGTGCTGGAGTGAGCTCTCGAATCAAATATCATTGCTATGGAGTGCATGTTATGGTTTTTAGAATACTTAAATATAAAATCGGATGAAACAACTAAATTGGACAAATGTTGCTTCCTTGAGGTATTATTTACATCAAATTAGAGCGAAACATATATGGGAGATGTATACAAAACCGAACCGATGTCGACAAAACTTGGCAAAGTTATTGTCATGTACCGATAATCCTTTTATGGTGTTTAAAATACGGATTTGGAGGATTAAATATACATACACTATTCTAGATTATATTTGGTAGTCTCCGCCAAAATTCATGCTATTTGGGCCAATATTAGCCATTTGGCGAACAATATACTTGAAATCGATCGAATATGTGGCACATGTGTCCAAATATGAATTGATTTCGTCAAAAATTGTCAAGTGTATTTCTCGATTGTATTTGATACCTTTTACCGAAAATCATTGTTATGGATTCAATACTTCGGATTTAGGGGATGAAATCGGATTAAACATTTTAATGGAAGCTATATTTGAATCTGAATCAATTTTCATCAAATTAAACATACATATGCTAAATTATGTGCTAAAATCTATGAATTTACGCATTCAGTGCACAATAAATCTGAAATCGAGAAAATATATAAATGACAGCCATATCTAAATTGTCCTTGGGCCAAACAAATGATCTATGCAAAATTTCATCACAATCGAACAATAAATGCTACTTGTGTTTTGCTTACAAAAATAATCAAATGCACGGAAATGCATAAGTCGACTCAAAATATGATTCTATCAAGATCATCAAAAGGAACTATAAGTCCATATCATTTTCTTTTACATGTTAAAAACAAACGCACAAAGACATAGTACCCTGTACCACACTGTGGTGTCGGGCAATAAAAGGGGGCTGTGCCCAAATTTTTAAATACTTTAGGGGTTTTCTGTTCAACAGACCACAGCTTCAAAGAAATGTCTGTGATTTAAAGTATATTTTATTATTTATTTATTTTATTTGAAAATCTTCGAAAAATGTTGGCTTCCTATCTTCATTCGTTTTGACTCCAGCGTGATTACTACAGACGGACGGACAGGGCTAAATATTTTACGCTGATCAAGAATATATATACTTTTTGGGTCTAAAATAATTATTTCGATGAGTTACAAACTGAATGTCGAACTTAATATACCCTCCATACTATGTATATTAGTCATATTTCATATAACTTTTGCTGTAATTTCTTTTCCATTAGAATAGCGTTTGTGTCTTAAATCTTTTCAATACCTCTGTTCTTTGGCAAAAAATATGTGTTTGTGCCCTAAGTCTTTTAGCTTATAAAACCGCTAATTTCCAATTAAAAAATTATTTTCTATCTACTATAGATAGAAACAAAAACTCTACTCTAAGTTATTCGACTATTTCGAAATTCTCACAAACGTTTTGCAGTTCAGCACCGTCGTCCCCATTGTAAAAGCCAAAGTTATTTCCCATGAAAATCTAGATTTCAACAGCATCTATTGTGTGTGTGAGTGAGGTTGCTTTTCTATATTTTTTTGCCCTTTGCATTCGAAAGAAACACCAACACAACAAAACATGCATTGAAATTAATTTTCTTGAAGAAAAAAAATACCTCCGTTGATGGGTGTTTTTTTTCCTGACGTTCTCGACTGCCGTGTTTTCATTTTAGTAGAACTCATAAATTATCAAATTCTGCTGCAAAGGTGAGCTAACAAAAACAACAGCAACTGTTCATGACACGAAAAGGCAAAATTACAACTTATCGCAACAACAAAGATCCTATTCCATGTGAAAATCTTGAAAATTTACAACCCATTGTAGGAAAATGAATGCAATCCAAGTTTGTCTAGATGTTATTTTCAGAGTAGATAAGTCTTCCAATGAAAGCGTAAATGTAATTAAGGGTAATTAATACTTTTGTAGAAGACTAGTTGTATTAAAAAAAGGAAGAGACATTGCAAAATAATATTGATTAGATCAAAGCAAAACTTAATTACTAAATATATCTATAGAAAACATATAAATTAATAACAAAAATACAAATATTTTTCGGAGGACCGATCAGAATCTTATTTTACTATGCCTCCTTGAAATATTTTTGAAACATACTTTTGTTTAAGGCGCAAAACATAATTTTCGCTTTGGGCTGCATGTAGGACAAAAAACAGCAATTCACAATTTAAAGTCTCTGTAACACAAAAAGGCCTAAATGGTAGGAAGATATTAGCAAATTCTCTGGAGCTATAAATGACATTTATCTAGCATTGTGTAATTATAATTAAGACAAATTCCACATCTATATTTGAACAAATTTAATTATGTTTTCCCTGTGGAATAAATATGAAATCGAATGGTGCATACGTGCGTATGAGCTATTGGCTAGACGGAACCGATTCAAAAAAAATCTCTGTAGAATAAATTACAGGCGCAGGCGCATAATTTACATGAATCTGCAGTGTTTTTTTCATTTATGTGAAGTGAGGCAGAATATACAGAAGATATGAATATAAATAAATATAACATACTAGCTGGCCCGGTCCGCGTTGCCGGCCCGTAGTTTTTGTCTATTATGCATATTTGTCAAAGAATAATTATTCAAAGATATGAATGTTATAAATGTTCACGTGATTTAATTAAGTAAAAATAGTTTTATCCACCTCATAATTGAGGTCAGACTGATTTCAGAATACTCAATTATAATTACTATTTTACACCCATTACCGTAATATGGGAACTAATTTTATTTGTCATTTAAATTGTAAATTGGAGACCCCATAAAGTCCATATTTTTCATCATAGTATAAATCAAAGACGATTCAACAAATATTCGGTCCCGTGCTACTTTCTTATATTTGTAATTTGTTCATGTTTTCACAATTTATTTCATATAGATGTATATCCCAAATCTGCGTTCCCAACCAATATTCTCTTGGGGGTTACAAATTCAATAGAATACATTTTTTTCTTTTCTGACCACACATTAGATGTGAAAGTGGACTTGGGGATACTCCAATGTGTGGACTTTACATGAATAAATTTCTATGTGGCAATTATCTGTACGATGGTTCCTTACCCCAGGGTAGCATAAATACAATTGTTTAGTGGTCAAGACCTATATGGGCTCTACTCCGAAAATTTTATGCGAAGAGGTTCTCTACCCCCTTAGAAACAAAGATGCCAAATAAGGGCCAAAAATAGAAGAAAGTGGCGAAGACTCCAAAAATGGTTTAAATCATACGATGGTTATTTATGATCGATATCATGACCTGCAAAAGCGATTTAAGGTATCTTAAATGTTCAGGAAGAACTTTTGGAAGGATAGAAATACTTTTCTTACTAAAAGTCCCATTCGCTCTACTATTATATTTGGTATTTTACTGATTGTACTCCCAAAAATTTTTGCATTTTGAGCTCTCATTGGACGGATTATTGTCACATGAAAGAAGTAGGTCCACGCTTTGAAATAAGTCCCATTAGTCCTTTTCGGTCATTTTTGTTTGTTTAAATGTCTGCGCATCTTCCAGCTGAAGCACGATGTAGGCCCTGGAGTTGAAAGGTAGATGTCAGTTACCATCGTATTTCGCACTTATTTCATTTTTTTGGTGAAAAATTGTATAAGTGAAAAATTATTCTTTATTTTATTCACAAAAAATCCACTGAATTCAATATGATATTACAAATTGAAAAAAATGACAAAGAAAGAATAACAAATTGAAAAAATCTTCAACTTGTTCGCTGATTTTTGCAGCAACTGTTTAAATATCCTTACAAAGTTTGTCAATAGAATGTACTTTTATTTTAAAATTCAATTCCATTGGAATTTTTTTCGATATTTTCTCGATTTGAGAATTGTTGCAATGTGATCTCTTTTTCCGTGATCTTTTTAACAATTTTGAAAAAGTAATTATCTTTTAACTTTGTTGTGACCGCATTAAATTATTTCGGTATCATCTATTCCGTTTCGCCACCACATAATTCGGTACTACACTTCCATGTAACCCGACATCAATTTCAGTTCTCAAGAAATCAACTTAATTAAATCAATTGGTATTAATATTCGAATTCAAAAATAAAATATAAAAAACACTACAAATGTACATTAGAAAAAAGTAAATCAAAATGGAAAAAATCATGCAAAATAAAACATTACTATTGTACATTTCAAAAGTCAAAATGAAAATGTTAAAATATCACATTTTTACGCGATTTTTTTTTTTTGATATTATCCTTTTCGGATAAGAGACAATTCCGAATTTGTATGAATCATTAAAATCAGTTCAGCGGTTCTTAAGTTATAAGCGTAGTAACTAACACAACTTTCATTTATATATATAGATTTAAAAAGTGTCAAATTTTAAATTGATCTGGGAATTAAAAACCCTTTTGGAGTTTTGCTTTTCAAACCTAAAACCAAAATCTCCACTAAGAAATTGTTACACACCAAATTTGGTTGGGAAAGTGAATTTTATATAAGGGCTATTCCAAAATAAATACTGATATTTACTAGCTTCTGCCGATAAGTTTTCTAGCAACGAGAAACCAAAATACTAACTTTCAGCCAAATCGATTGAAAAATATGGCCAAGACTCTCACAATAACTAAAATCTTTATGTAACGGTTGTACCAAAAGGTGGAACAAAATGTATAGTTTTTTGTAAATAGCGCTTCTACATGGTAAGATTTGTCGAAATAAAGTGGGAAACATGGCCAAAAAGTAAAAGATACTTGAAATCAGAGTTATCCTTACATGGAGGCTGTACCAATATGCGTAGTGTACCTCCTACAGAATGAGATGAAAGAACTGCAACCAAATTTAGACTGCTGTCATTTCTAAGCCACTCGTCCGACAGCTGTTAAAATTATTCCAGTGACAATTCATTACATTGTTTACATGCGTACAAAATCATTTTGGTGGGAATTTTCCAGAAAAAGTTATTCGTCATGGGATGAAAAACCACAAGTGTCTATCGTTCTAGCACGCCAGCTTTTAAATGTGAATAAATCTTTTGTGTCTCGTACCACCGCTCGTTAAAGTGATACCCACGTCTCAGTGCCTGAAAATGGCACGTGAGCTGAACATATCGCAATATTTTATTCCGCGAATATTGAAAAATGAGCTCGAGGCAAAGCCATTGAAATTTCAAAAAGCGCAAGAACTTACACCGCAACAGAAAGAGTTCACACAAGTATGGCTTTAACACTATATTTGTTTTAAATATTCCTGGATTCTTGGCCTTAGACTCTTGACGTCTTCTAAGAGTAGATCTCTATGACAAATAGTTTTGTAGAATATTTCGAGGAATCTTATTCCAAAAATTGCCCCTATATTGATTAATTTCGATGTAAACTTTCATCTTTTGTTACTTCTATTTTAATAATCTGCTGCATTTTCTCTGTAATTATTTTTTGTGTTGCACAGTAAAATGTTTGTGATTGCGGAATTGTTAAATAATAAACCTCTTGTACTAATTTTATATATGTACATTTCATTTTTTTTTTTTAAATTTGGATTGGAATCTCCATTAAAAAATAGTATTTATAACAATAATAATAAAATCAATTAGAATACCAATTATATTATGCCAATAAGTTTTGTATTAGCTTTTAAAAATTTTACAATCAGATCATATAATAAAAAAACTCAGAGAAAAATATTTTTCAAGAAAATTTAAAATAAGTTAAATAAGTCAACGTATGGACTAATAAACGACAGTATTAACGATAATTGTTGATAGGAGAAATTTGTCAACTGCTTATTTTTTCGGTGAACCAGCGATGAAATTAAAGTATTTTCTAAGACCTAGTGCTGAAGAACTGAGAATGTCAATGAAAAAAAAACTTGATCTACAAATCCGGGTGCCGTTTTATACATAAAATGTAATTTCGTAAAATAAGCCATTTTTCCTAAAAAAAAAAAATAAAAATTTATTAAAAACATAAAATGCTAGTTTTCCGATAGTAACAATACAATTATCAATAATTCGGTTTTTTAAAACACTTAGTAGAGTAGAATTAATTGATTTCATACCATTTTACTTAAAAAAAGTCATTTTATATAACCGTATAAACAAGTCCAAAATCTCTTACTCCATTCATACGTACTGTACCTTTCAAATAAAAACATCTAAGTTCATTGCACTGATTTAAACTCAGACCGATTTGCTTTCCCACCATCAAAAACACAAAATGCCTAAATTGTTGTTACCATTCATTGTTTTGCGCAAAATGTAAGACTCCACCTTGAATACCCATGTAGCCGCTTCAGTTGCGACAGAGTTGAACAACCAACCAACCACCACCACCAATGACGGCAGAGCTTCAGTTTAAACTACACTTTACACGTCCAGTCATTGGCCAACAGTGGTGTTTCCTCCGTTATCTGTTTTCTCTGTCTAACACATTGCATGAAGCTCAAATGGGAAATGTATAATGTTGATGATGTAAACTACAATTTGCTTTGTGGAAAAGGCAAGGGGATTTTAGCTGAGGAACTGTTGTAATTTCATGCAATAACTTCGCATAAAAGTTTAATTATTTGTATTTAAATGGATTTCTTAAACATGTTATTTTCCATAGGACACTAACATAATTGAAACTAAGCACGATATGGGGATTTTTTTTGTTTTTGATGATGGGGTATACAAAATGATCTTAATTGGAAACAAAAATGGCGAACAGAAATATTGTGGTATTTAAGTTGTGTTACAGTTTAAATAAATAAAATGTCAGATCCTTTTTGAAAATGAATCTATACATATGTTTAAATATCGGAAAACCTTTGCGTTCCATTCGAGATGTAAGCAATATAGCAGTGAAACAACCCTGACTTTTTAGATACTTAAGCTTTTTTGAGAAGTTTACAGTATGTGATCCGTTCCAAAACCTGCCCTGGAATGGATCAATAATGTACCTTCTTCTAGTTCGATTTACTAACAAGTCAAAAAGCAGCTAAGCATTTTGAAGTAACTTGAAAAAAATAAAAAAAAATCCGTAGAAAAATTCTTCCCATTATATGGGGGCTATACGAAGGCGTGTCCATTCATAAGCTGTAGTACCCATTACCAGCTTCAAATACGAAATTTGAACAAATCCGGTGACTAATGTACATAAAATCTTCATAATACCGAATGCAGGGAGATTTAGTTATATGGGGGCAAATACGAAAACGAGGATCTGCATACGTGAATTTTTTGTTAGAGGTTGTAGTACCCATTACGATCTTTAAATACAAAACTTTAATCAAATCCGTTATAAACATCGCTAAAATCATCAAAATACCGAAAATGGGATGTACTGGAATAGGAAAACGTGGAGCTACATGGTCCATTTACGAACTTAACCTGCCTACTGGCAAAATACACATGTGTGCAAATTTTTAGCTTTCTATCTTGTTGGTTTAAACATGACTATTTCGAGGAGTTAAAGACGGAATAACAAAGTATGCCCTTTATGGTATGGTGGGTGGTATAAAAAAAGTAAAATAGTCTACATTCGAATACAGAAAAAATATATAAATTGTATAAAAATTCCAAATTTATACGAATAATACAATATTTATATTCCAGATATGTAATGGAAATAGTGGCTGACCGCTAACACTTTCTTATTTAAATACAATATACATATATCTTCGCCAAGTTCCCTTCGACAAGTAATTATTTCAAGCTTATTTCTTTGATATTTATTCGGATTTTTATCCGTAATAATAGTACTCAGCAGAATTGGGAGCCTAAACGCTTGAAAAGAATTTCCTTGCATCTTCAACTCTGTCATTGGCTAAATGCGTTTAAAATCTTTCAAATAGACCCCCAAAGGCGTAAAATGCTTCCCACATATATTGTCCATTTCCTATTTGCATTACACTTCAGTGCAATTTATTCGGTGGAAGAATTGTGAACACTGCAAGATTGGCCCGAGAATATGAATGTATTCGGGAACCGAGCACAAGACTGCAATTCATTTGAGAAATAATGTCCACATTCACACACATACATACCAACTGAGTCCATTACAATTTGCTTGTCACAAAAAATACTGCGTGATTTGTTAATCTCCAAGCAACCCGATTAAACAGGATACCACACGATATATAGATTTCCACTGAGGCAGGGGGAAGTCCAGAATTAAATTATGAAACTATACGAATTAGGTACATACCTTTCGATCCAATATACCACCATTCGCAAATTGCCGTTGCTCGTCAAAGAATTTGCAAGCTTGTTTCTGCAACAAATGTATGCCAAGGTGCTAAGCGGCGCCTTTTTTTTTTCTTTTTTTTTCGTCAAAAACACAACAACGCATCTTAAATAGCACATATTTAATTAAAATACAAATTCAATCAAGAGAAAATTAATTTCTTTACACTTTTTTGCACGCACGAACTACACTTTTAATATTTTTAACAATTTATTTGTTTATTTTCTAGGAGATTTGTTCATTTCAAATCGCAACAGCAAGCAAGTCATCCAAGGAAATTAACTGCGAATGTGAAGAATGACAGAATCCAATATAAAAAACAGCGAACAAGGCATGAAGACGGATTATGAAATGAAAAAAAAAATAAATGAACGCCTAAAGGTATGCTATTATCTTGTAGTATTACAATTCAGCAGCAATAAATGAGATAAATCAAACTTTATTAACGATCGTTTTTCCAGAAATTTTTATTTAGTTTAAAAAATAAAGGCGATTATTTTTTGTGGTTATTTCAATAGCTAATTTTTAATACATTTTTATATAGATAAATATGCATGAAAAATTATTGTTTTTGTGTAAGTATAGCATTTTATTTTTGAAATATTTAAGTTGAACTACCGGCTGAATTCAATTGAGTTTAATCCACGCCTGAAAACTTTGAAAGTGAGAAATGTGTGTGTTTTTTGAATTAATTATTAAATAATAAATTGCTAAAAATAAGCTATCGTTAATAAATCAAATTGTCTATCTCATTCAAAGCTGTTGATTAGTATTATTATAAAAATTGCATACCTTTAGGCGTTAATTAAGTTTTATAATTTCTCATTATTCGCCTTCCCACCCTATTCGCAATTTATTTTATGGGATTTTGTTTATCACCACATTCGCAGTTGATTTCCTTGATTGAGTGGTTGCTGTTGGGATTTGAAATAAACAAAACTCCTAGAAAATAGTAAAATAACTTAAAAAAATATTGAAAGAGAAGTTCGCGAGTGCAATAAAGTGTAAGGAAATAAAGTTTTTATTTGAGTAGATGTGTATTTTAATAAAATTTTAACGATTAAAGTTTGTGTTGTGTTTTTGACGAATAAAGAAAAAGACGCCGTTTCGCACCTAAACATACATTTGTCGCGGGAACAATTTTGCTAAATTTTGCTAATTTGCAAAATGTTGATGTTGTGGATTCGTTTGAATGGTACGTAATACGTATTGTTTAGCAATTTCATTCTAGATTTGCCTTCGGTCCTTTCGATTCCTGTCGCGTGATTTTCTGCCCATGGGTTTTCTTGAAGAAATTCTAATCAACGAAGCACACAGTATTTTTTTGTGTGGAAAGCAAATTATAATGGACTCGGTAGTTGTATGTGTGTGTGTTTGGAAGTTCACATTATACCCCAGATAAAATGTAGTTGCTCCGGTGCTCCCATTAGTGTTTGATTTCTTGCTTCCAATCTTTGAGGAGCGCAGATTTCCTCCATCGACTAAACTGGGCTGGATATTTTGTTTTTCTCGAGTTAAAAGACAATTAGGAATGGACATTCTATATAATTCCCCTCATCAATATACGGGAGCCAAACCTTTATTTAGAGTTTTGGTGGAACGCAGATCTGAAATCAATTAAACTAACCTAATTTTGAGCAAACTTAAGAAAGGATTTTTTGAAATGCATGATATCTCTCAATCCAAATATTATTGGGCAACAGGATAAGGAGCATTTCCATCGACATATCAGTGTCATATTCACTGAAGTAACAATTCAATCATGGCCAAATCGTCCTCCTTATCACAACTATGCTCTCCGAACTTAACACATCTAACTACTTGTTGATAAATGAGATTTATAGCAACTTGATCAAAGGTGGGATCATGCCGGGGTCAAATATTTCTTTGCGGAAAAACAATCGCCATGGAGTATTACGGACATGTGCTCGGCTTAAATCTAGTTTAGCAAAACTCTTCGTTTTTTCCGAAATTTCTTCCAGAGGTAGTTATTTTTACCCTAGTATCGTATATAACTTCCAAACCGCTTAAAAATTACCGCATCGTGTGACCACTTTTTGGATAGGTATTTTCATAAGCTTTCAAACCTATATTGTCTATATAGGGTAAGTGCCCGAACCCGGACTTTCGGGTCTTGGGTTCCGGGTCCGTCCCCCAAGAATAAAATAGGGCAAACATAACTACCCCTGGAAAAAAATTGGAAAAAATCGATGAGTTTTTACTAAACTAGAGTTGTTCCCTGGGCTCCTTGTTCTTTGGCCTATTGTTCGCATTGTGACATGGAAAAAAATTTTACCGCGTTTCCAAAATTCGTTGCAAGATGTAAGTGCTAGAACATGCGAACTTATTGAATGCTATGTAATTTGGGCTAATGTAAGTAATTTGTTTTAAAAACAATTAAATTAGAAGTTATGTCCAAATCTGGGCCGATACTCTTCAATTTCAATACGGTTCGTCCTATAGACAACCCATTGAATAGTGAATAATTTTGTCTCAGTCGGACAATAAATATGAACTGTAATTATTTACAAAATACAGGAGTAGAAATACGAAGGGATACATATCGAAAGTGTTTCAGGTTCAAAAACGTTAGGCGTCGAGTATAACTATGAATATTTCCCGCAAAATCTCAAAAGAAACCACTACGAGAAAAACTATAAAAGCAAAACAAGAACTTCCAAATAATTCCTTACACCATGGATAATGGTCTAATCCACATTTTTCTAGTCCCTCAATATCTAAACACATTATTTATATATGTTTTTTTTATATTTTATTATAAATATATATTTATTGTATAAATAATATACTTTAATTGATTACAAATCTTTCTATTTACGGTAAATTAAAAAAAACGCTTTCTTGATATTCATTTTTATGTCTTTGAAATTGTTTAAAACAAATTAAGGCTAATATAGTTTACTATGGTTTTTTGTATTTCCTTTAATTTTTTCTTATATTTCGATTTGAAAAAACACTATATAAGATTATAAAATTTCGAAAAATGTGTTACTGAATTTAAAAAGAATGGTTAAAAACAAATACAAGTTAGTTAATGTATTTATACCAAGCTTCGATTGCCTTACTTAAAAACTAACAAATAAAATAATAAAAATAAATATTAAAAATATTTAAGATTTTAGACCATAAAGTTAGGTAGAGTAGACGCTTGAAAATAATAACACATACATATGTATAAATTAAGTGTAATTTGATCATAAATTATAACATAAGTAAAACGAAAAGAGAGGTCTACACGATAAAAAGACACGATTTTGGTGGTAAAGAACAATTCGAAAAATAAAACAATACAATTTCAAGTTGTCTAAGAGACTTTTATGGGTGAGGAAAAGTTCGATTAGACTTGATTAGTTTGCGCGAATAGTGCGATTCTTGTTCATATTAGTTAACATCAGCGAGATGTACGATGTCAACAAATCATCCATTTTGTAACCCAAAGATGTTTCGCATAACAGCTTTGAGCCTCGTACCAAATTACCAATGGTCATGTGGAAGTACGTGTTGCCGGATGACCAATTTGAAATGCGTGTAAACGGATGAGTTATGAGTATGTCCTGGAAAATATGAACGAATACTTATTTATTTCTCACAATTCATAATGGTCATTCCTTACCTTTGTTACTGGATGAATGAGACTAACACCATGCTTATTAATTGCTATCAATAACATTTCAGGATAATTAGGTTCAGTCGTTTGTTTTACTTCAAAGAAGGCCGATCCAAATGTGGGCCATCTGTAAAAATTAAAAATTTAATTAAAATACATACGATTTTTTTATTTTAACTAAATATTTAAACTTCAGACCAAAAGAAACAAAGTTCAAAATTTCTTTTTTGATTTCTTTTATGGTATTTAGTTAAACAAGAGTTTTAACACAACTTTTGTATTATTCATACCACTTTTTTAAATCAGAAAAATATAAAGGTTAACATTACCTGTAGACAATTTTAAGGAACGCCACTTTTGCATCTTCAGAACTCATACCGGAATCTTGGTTATATGAGGCAACAATTGCCCGCTTCCATTCACTAGTGCTTTGCATTTTCATCAAATCGGAGGGTATCAATTCACGCAGCATTTGTCTGAAATTGAAGACATACAAAATTAAAACTCCCTTTTCCCTTCACTCCCATAACAATACATACGGTATGGCTTGCAGTTCCTGCTTATTATCACCATAACGGACTCTATAGACCAAAGCAGCCAACTTGGCGGCCTCTTCACGTGAACACTTATGATAGCCCCTTAAAAGTTTCGGCAACTCTTGATGATAATGGAATATCAAATCGGCATTACGATCTTTTCCGGGCACTGTATTGGTCCAAAGTTTCTTCATGAAGAACACTTGATAGGTGAACTGTGGATTACTACCATCGCGTATTGGTCTGGCCTTCTTTATCCAATCCGTTAGGTGCCTCACAAAGTCAAAGAAGAAATCTCCTTCGGGCACTGAAATAACTTTGTCGGCTATCTTTACGAAGAGCGAGAAACCTTCGCTTGTTCTCAACGATAGACGTTGCGAAATATTTTGACAGAAATCCTTGGCCCTGGTTGAGGAATCTACTTCGAAAGCTTCATCCGTATCATCCGGGAAGTAAACTTTGTGGAATATTTGAGTAGTTTTATGCTGAATGGCCTCCACTTCAACTTGGTGAGGTGGATACTTGCGCTGGCCATTGCGAATCGTTTTCTGCAGGCGATGCAAAGAGTCCTGTGATATTGGATGCCTCCTGGTTCTCAGGAAGAGAGTTAATTCCTTGAGTAAGGCCTGAGAGCAGGCAAAGAGACCGGTGGCCAACCACATCAGCTCCCAGCCACGCTCCTCTGAAATGCGATTTCTGTTGTCAGTCAACTGCTTCATTATTTGGCAATATATTTCATCCCTCAAAATTTCATGCTTCAATGGGCCGTCAAATATATGGTCTGTGATTTCATTGCCCATTCTTGGCCGTTTTGAGGGTAAATCACCCATGTATTTAAGAATTGCTGCAAAAGCGAAGCAAGCCTCTTCGGCCAACTCTTCTTTTGCTTGCAATTTTCTGAGAAGCGGAGCCTTGATAGGATCTCTGGAATAACGCCAAATTTCTTCAGAGCGTTTTGAACTCAAAGTCAGTGTTTTTGACACTGTTCGCTTGGGAGGTAAACGGAAATGATCCAAAGCATATTCCATCAAGTTATGTGGTCGGTCTCTGGGCTCTGTCACTCCATTCGATGCCATACTCAAGCGTTTGCCATGGTGGGCTTCCTCCACATTAAATAGAGCTAGAATATCCTGAGGTGGTTTCGTAAGCGTAGGTAGAACATACACAGTTTCTGCCGGGAAGTCTCCCCTTTCCTGGGTGCGTTCGCAACGACCTATACACCAACCATTGTTGAGGACATTTTCTCCGCAGCTCTCGTCTTCCAAAATGATAAGGTCACCCTTGTAGAATGATAAGAAACTAGATCCGTCCGAAGGGGCCCGATAATCTTGAATGGCTATGACAAATTTCGATCTCTTCTTTAGACCATCGAGGAAATAGACGACCAAGTCTCTTATGTCTTCGGCATTGGGACTTTGGAATGTGAACTCTTCTCCGCGAACGGTAGACAAACTAAAGGTTTGGGTGAAAACTTTGTTGGTTTTTTGACTGGATACGGCAGTAATCTCGGGGAAACTCAATTCCAATAAAACTTGTTCCTGGTCATCAACCACATAGACGCCTGTCCAGTTAACAGCAATGATAACATCGTTTTTGGGTAAGTTTGGACCAGAATTGCGATATGCCTCATAGAATCGTGAGAACAACAGAGGCCATTTGTATTTGGCATAGCTCACAATGTCTTCCTTGATCTTCAGCGAATGTATTTTTTCCTTAACGTAGTACGACTTTTTATAGGCCTGTAACACGAGGGCAGCCCAACGTTCGATGGCCTTATCGACGCCTGTTAAACAGAAGTCGGGTATAAAATTGGGCAGCAGGGTAAAGAGTCTTTCCATAGACATATCGGTGCCATATTCAATGAAATATTGTTGCGCTGCAATCATGGCCAAATCGTCCTCTTTATCACAACGATACTCTCCGAATTTTACACCTCTGACCACCTGCTGATAAATGAGATTCGTAGCAACTTGATCGAAAGTGGGATCATGCCAGGGAGCAAATATTTCTTTGCGGAAGAACAATCGCCAGGGAGCATTACGTTCCTGGGCTCCTTGTTCTTTGGCGTATTGCTCACATTGTGATATAGCGTCCATTACATGATCTCCACCACTACCCAGAGAGGAGACCTTATCGAATAGAGCAATGTACAGTGAGAAGCCAAACTGATCTTTCAGAGTGATTTTATCCGACAATTGATTGCACAACTCCCGAGCCGTTGTTGCCGAATCAGCCAAGAGGGTTTTCGTATTGCCATCCATGAATGTGATGGGCAACATTATGGGTTTCTTTGATTTCGTGGCCTGCAATTCCAACCAGGATGGAGGTTGATTACGTGTACCATTATTGAAAGTTCTCTTGAGGCGTTCCTCACAGTACGGAGCATAGCCAGGTGGACCTTCCCGAATGAAAGCTCTCAAATAGTTGACAAATTTCTCAGAGGGTGCAAAACAACCCACACACAGTGACAAGAGAATCCAACCCCTGGCATGTGAGGATTTCAAGGGATTGTTTGTCAATTGTTTACAAATTTGACAGTAGATTTCATCCCTAAGTTCGGCCCTCAAAATACCATGGCCAATGATGAAGTGTAGTTTTTCCAAGTTAGAGGTGGGGCGAGATTGGAGCCATGATTGATAACTATCTGCAGTGTACTCTTCATCCTGCAGACGGCGTCTTACATCTTCGCCGAGTTTATTCTTACGTTTCAACGTGAGCGAAACCAATTTATGTCTGATTGAGCGTGGCTTTTGTTTGAGAAAAGCTTCGGGGTCCAATCCCATTAGTTGAGCTTCTTGGAATTCTTTGCTTCTAATAAAGTTCCTGCCCAAAGTGGCTGTGACTTTGGACATTACTGATGTCGTATCCATGCGATCCATGGTATGGTATTTCGGTTCAGGCATATCACCGGTAAATCTTAAAATAGTTATCCACAAGGCTTGGGCTGCCAACTGATCACCTTGGGTATGCAGTGGCAAAAGGGGATGTTTAAGAGCCTTTTTGGAATACTGATGATTGACATTGCCCTGGAAGTAGGTAGCTGCGAATTTCTGGAATTTAAATTCCGACAAATCTTCTTCATCTTCGGAGATATGCATGGGACCGATAATATCCTGTGGAGAGAAAAATGTAGGAAGATTAGCACAGTCACTAATTGTAATTATGTCCTCTTACCTCTTGATTAACACTGTTGCCATGTGGTAAATCATTAAACACCGATGTTTCTCGGCCGGCATGTGGCGTCGGAGCTTCGCTGCTGGAATCTGGTAAGAAATCAAACATTGCCTCCACCAGTTTTCCATCATCCACAGGTTCATCCTGCTTGCGGGCTGCATCGTTTATCAAATTCTTCTTCACCTCCACTCGACGTCGTTCTTCGATCTCCTTTTCCATTTCTCTGCGTTCCAGCTCATGCAAACGATCGCGATAATGTTGTTCAGCAATCTCCCGGGCATGTTTGTTACCCTTGTGCATGAGTTCTTGTTCTTCCAATTTTCGTAAATGCAACACTTCTGCAAACTTCTTGTATTCCTCCTTCATTTTCTTGTACCGACGCATTGCTATCATTCTTCTAGCATGAGACTGAATCTTAATAATGGCCCACATTTTGTGACCATATTCGCGCCTAACCAAATAACCACGTGCATGCGCCTGGAGGCCCACAATATGACCTCTCAAATGACGGAATCGATGCGAAAGGACTCGTGACCGTATCAATGCCTGCAAACGCATGTAGCCCACTCGCATCTGCTGATAACGTTTTCTTTGAGCATAGCCCTTCCAGTAACGCTGAATGGTAATGGCTGCAGCTCGCATGCGCAAGAAACGTCTGCGATAAACCCATCCACGAATAGTTCTTTGCAATATTAAAATCTTACGTGTCAGCACACGGTCACGTTCCTGTTCTAAGAACAAATCATGAGCATCTTTAAGGAAAACTTTAGTGTGACCCAATTGATAGTCTGATTTGCCCAATACTGCAGCACATATGCGGGATGTGGCCAAACGGCAGTCGGTGCGATGAGCTGGCGGTACTCCAGGGATAAGGAATCGGTAACGTTCCACAAAGTCTCTAAAACCATGGCGTATGGGATAACCAGCTCTGCGAATGCGTATCGTCTCCATCATGCCCGAATAACGTAACTGGCGACAGCAAAGGCCGCGATCGAACAGCATTGGTCTTTTCACTTCGTTCGGTTTGATACACCGTATGAAGAATGGCTGACAGGAGCTAAGAGTTTTCATCAAAGCATCTAAACTTTTTTTGAACTGAGTAGATAATGTGGGCGTTCTCTTACGGGTCTCGGCGCCCATTTCTATGTCTTGAGCAAAGATCTGCCTCAGGAATTTATTGCTACTCTGACTTACCAGATGCAATAAATCTGGACTAAAGGTGTCGCGGTTCTTTTCCAAAAAGCCACTGGTATCGTAGAATACAACACCGGCAAAGTGATTCAGACCGAAGCTGGTGTTAATGTCCGATTTGGGTTTCAAATAATTCTTATGGGTGCCATGGGTTTTGTGCAGTTTGGCCAACATTGTGTGATCCGTGCCCTTGGGAAAACGGGCCTCCTCATCAATCAAAGCCATAATGTTGAGCTGTTTGATGGCAATCAAATCCAAAGCATCCTGATTATCAACAAACTCTATGTGTTGCCAATTGATGCCCTCGTGGTTGTATTCCTCCTGTTCCAGTTTAAAGATGTGCTGCACAAAGAACTGTTGCAAGTTTTCATTGGCATAATTTATACAGAATTGTTCAAAGCTGTTCTGGTCGAAATTCTCGAAACCAAATATGTCCAAAACGCCAATTGCATTGCGGGAAGTGGCCCTTGGTTTGTAAATGGCAGCATTGATTTTGCGTACAATGTGTACAAAGAGACGTCCATATATGCCCTTGACAAACGCATCGCGTACATCAACTGACTGTTCTCGGGACAGTGTCGAGACCACTGTCTCGCCATGAGCAAAAAGTGTACGGCGAGTAAGGGCATCGATAAGCGGTTGTAGCGGCAATCCCAGAAGGGCTGCCACTCTTTCCACATTTATGTACTCGGGAATTTCGGTGGCATCCAAATTATCCACAACTGTGGCCTTATATTTTATATTGCCGCAGTGCAATAAAGCTGCAAGTAATTTGATAATTTCCCAGATTTCTTGATCGGTAAAAAGTAGGACTTTCATGGCAGAGCGTATGTCGGAGAATTCGGCGGTATCATCACGACCTTCACAAGTGATGCAATCACCGCCGGTTAGGTATCTACAAATGGGGAAAGTATATAATATAAGTCAAGAAGTATGTGTGCGGTATGCTATGTTTATTTACTTATAATCTGATGCATTTCCAAGCTCCAGCCGCCTCTTTTCTTCCATCGAAAGACCGGCCAAAATACAATAGAATATGTGATAATTCCGCTCGCTGTGATTTTGAGAAACAATGCGAGATTTCTCCAACAGATACTGTTCAATTTTGGCACCCTCAATAACGCCATTGGCACTGAAGTGTATATCAATGTATTTGCCAAATCTAAAGGGGAATAGTAAATATCATTAGATACGGAACGAATATGATTCCTGTATCATCACTCACCTGGAAGAATTGTCATTTCTTACAGTCTTTGCATTACCAAATGCCTCCAAAATGGGATTAGCCTCCAAAATTTGTTGTTCTATCCAGGAATGTTTACCGCTGATGGCAGCCAAGTATTGTAAAATGAGTTTTGTGCTTTCCGTTTTACCCGCACCCGATTCGCCCGATATGACTATGCATTGGTCCTGGCGATAGCGTTTCATGTGGGCATAGGCATTGTCGCCTATGGCAAAGATGTGTGGTGGCAGTTCGCCGATTTTTCGCTCCTTATAGAGTTTGATTTGATCCGCCGTATAGATGGGCAGGATTTGATAGGGATTTACTGCCACCAATATGGAACCGGTGTAGGTCTGCGAAAACAAAAGACATATGATTATTTAGATTATCAATTTATATATATGTGTGGAGCCAGGCTTCTTACATAAATCAAATTCTCTTTGTATCTAATGAGTAGATTTCTTAATATGCCAGCCTCGTGAAGATCTCCCAAAGATATCATGTCTTCCACTCCCTGTACGGAAGAGGCATGCATGGCCTTGATACGCCTTTCCGGCGATAGCCATATCTCATCACCATCATCGTCGCGCACTTGTATGCGTCTACCCTCTGCCGAAATGACACGAGCACCAATGGCTACATCGAATTCTCTACCCGAGGCGGGTTCTATCCAGATGTAGTCACCCTAAAATGTAAAAAAGAACAATGAGAAGAGTTTAAAAACACATATTTAATTCTGTTATGGTTCATTTACACATAAGCGGTTGATTGAATTGTAGTCTTGACCCTGAAATTTATGCTTCAGTGACTCTTATGACAAATGTTCTTTCAATTCAATTACAGAAAGACGTGAAAGTGTTTTGAAAGGAGTTAATAAAATGATGGCGTAGTTTCCCATAATGAGTTTTTTTTAGCAACGAAACTTCAAAAATCTAATTTTTACCCAACATACCAAAAATACAATACAGCTTGAGAATAATATTATGAAAATAGTTTATCATAAGAATTTTTCAACAATGCTTGAGAAACACTTTTTTGCACAAACTTTTCTCAAATCTGTCCTTTGTTGACAAATTTGTTTTGATTTTTTTTGTGAAAATTGTCAACAAAAAATTATATTCTTTGGTTAAAATCAAAATCACGCGAATTTAGGACCCATTTCCGGACGAAACTCTAAGGTAATGATGAATAATAAATCTGGGAATCTGTAGTATAAATTATTTCAATCTCATTTCAGAATGGAGGCGTCAAAAAGTTGCAGGAATTCAACAGAAGTGAAGAATAAGTGGAGGAGATACAGAAGCTCAAATAAGGGGAAAGAAAGCATCTAGGTATCAAGGCAACAGGATGCAGTGACAGCTGGGATGGCAATCAATGAATGAAATGTGTAAAATAAAATGTAAAATGTATGTTGGGTAATGACTCATTTTGTATGTATTTTCGATACAAACATTTGTTTATTAAAAATTTACTTGCCGCTTTGGAAATTATATAATATTTAATTCTCTTTTACTAATATGCGCACTTCTATATACATATTTGTGTATGAACAATTTTCATTGAGTAGTTATTCTTTTTTTTTTTTTTTTTTTTTTTGAAAAACAAAACAACAAAAACATTGACCCAAATATTTTTTCAAGTGTAACGCACCAGACAGTTCGTTTCATTTTGGTGGTGGTATTATTTTCGTTGTTTGTACTGCTCATGGATGAGCAATTAAATGGAGTTAATACTGGCATTGGTTTCCATTAATGACTTGTAGTTGTTAAAATGAAAATTTATTCTTTTTAAGGTAATGTTCGGTGTTTTTTTCCCAAAACATTATTGATTTTTGATTTTCATTTTGTTAATTTAATGTGAGGCTAATTCTAGGGGGTATAGCATAAATAATTTTCTGAATTTTCACACATGATTTTTTCCCTAGAAGTTAAGAGTTATAAAACAGAATTTTGCCCAAAGGGGAACAGAAAACTAGAAGAAATTCCCAAATAAAATCACAATCCTTCAAGTTAACAAAAAAGGGCAATGATTTCAATGAAACTTTGAGGGTCCATAGTTTGGAAAGAATTAACCTTTATCACAATATTTATTAATTATATATAACATTTATTGTCAAAATCATACATAATATGGAGGGCATATTAAGTTCGTCATTCCGTCTGTAACTCATCGAAATAATAATTTTAGACCTAACGAAGACGATTTAGTCCTGTCCGTCCGTTTGTCTGTTGTAATCATGCTAGAGTTAAAACGAATTACGAAAGATAGGAAACTTAAACTTTGCACAGATCAGTCTTTTGTGTTGCCTGCACAGTTCGAAGATGGTTTTAGGCACATTTTTCAATGGAATTGTCTGAAATTTCACACAGGGAGTTCTTTGTGGGTACTTTACCACTTATAAGAGACTTTTTCATATAGGTCCACGATATCGTATTTTCCCCATATAACGGTACCTCCCGATATTCGGTATTTTGATGATTGTAGCTAAATTTTTCAATGGAATTGTCTGAAAATCCTCACCAGTATTTCCTTCTGAGAAGTTTGTCCCCTGAAAAGAAGTGTCTATATAGGTCCACGATATCATATATCCCCATATAAGGGTACCTCCTGATATTCGGTATTTTAACGATTGTGGCCACATTTTTTATGGAATTGTCTGAAATTCGTATTGAGTACTACAACTTATGCCAGAAAATTGTCCACGATATCGTATATCTATCCCACATATAGGTACCCTTTATCCGGTGTTTTGATGATAACAACAGCAACATTATTCAACGGAATTGTTTTAAAATTCGTACTTGAAGTTCGGAACCGTTACTTCAGCCTATGAAAAAAATGCTCATGCATGATCACGTCTTCGTATATTCCGCATATAACGGTTTTCTTTTAAATGGTATTTTTGACTTTTTCGAAATTATTCAACATCCTTCAAAATGGTAAATGGTATTAAAAATTCGGCCAGGTCGAACTTTGTTACTTTTTTTTGGAAATTTGTCTTTCGTTCTGCTTTATTTTTTGGCCATGGTTTAACCTTTTAATTGGTTATTGCCCATTTTTTTACTGAGACATAGTCGGCCCGTCCAGTCTTTATATTTCCCTTACCATTATATACTGGCTGCAATGTCTATCATTTAGAATTTCTTTTTCCCAAAACAAGAGATTTATCTGACACCTGTCTTCACGTCAAACCACAGCTTACTTTGTTAACAATATGTCCATGGATAAAATGCTTTAAATAACAACGTTAAACGCCGTAAAAATATTCATGTTCCCTCCCACCGTTTTCCGTGTGATGTAAATAACACATGAAATATTTATTTCTTCTTCAACGCAAAAAAACATTCCCACCTGAAAACCAGAAACAGGAAACCCCAAGAAATTTATGAGTTGTAACCTACAATAGAACGGCTAATAAATGGAAAGATGCATATTTTATGATAAAAGACATAAACGTTCTATCTTCAGCTACCACCATTAAATTCTCACGTCGTCTTCAGTCTGCCACTTGTGCAACATAAAATAAAAAAAGAGTTGTGGAAGTTCAAAGAATATGTTTATGTATGTACTTACGCGTGTTACAATCACCATTTTTATTGCCCTTCATTGACCATTAATTTGTGTCGTGTAGAAAATTTCAAATCTGAAATGAGAAATAGAAGAAAAAAATAAAAAACAATGAAGACATTTTTATTTGAGTGTAAAATGAGGAAAATTGTCAGTTGTCAAAATTAAAGAAGAAAGAAAGAATCAACATGTGAAACTGGAATCTCTACATTCGTGTCTGCAACACAAACTCAAAACATACATATTCTGCCACACCAGCCAGAGTAATGTGGCTTAAATCTGAAACAAGTCTTATTACTCACATATGTATGACGAAAGCACCCATAACGACCGAAAACAACAAAAACAACAGCGACAGTAGAATAAGGTGAAGTTGAAGTTTACGGTAAATTAACGAGCAAACGCTTAAATGAACACGATGGCATTAACAATAAAAACAGACTCTCGTCCAAACACACACGCACACACAAGCACGCATGTTTTCATCTGCATATTCTGCAAACCAGCGAAAATGTCTACAATGCTGTAAAATTCATAGAGAGCGAGAGGTAGAAACCTGTGAACCGTACGACCAGGTATTTGCCGAACAGATTGTTCGCTGAGAATATTAGCCAGCCAGCCAAATATCATCATGTACAGATGGTTATTCAGCCGTGTTTGGGATTTTTTTTGTGGCACAGTGGCAAGAAAAAGAAACATGAAACTGGTTACGTGAAAAAACACCATGAACATAACTCAGTTGTATTTATTAACCCATTTCGCTTCTCTTTTCTATTTTTCAAACAGTAAAAACATTTATATATGAAAAGGGTAAAATTGTAAACAAATTTTTGTGTCGGTAGTAAGAGTCATCTGTCATTAATTAAAAAAATTCCCCCCCCTTGGGGGCCCCTTGATGGTATCGGCACATTTCTGAAACCCATATTTTTGGAATATTTGATATTAATTTAAAAAAATAACAAAAAATAATACATGGAAAAAGTAATAATGAGGAATTATTGCCAATATATGTAAACGAAAAATCGGAGTAAAATTTTGAAATCACTGGGTCCAAATTACTCTAAGAAAGTATTTTTTTTTTTTCAAAAACAATAAAAAATTTGACTTTTATAAGGCAAACAATTGTATACGTTTTAATATAATAAAAAAATTGAGAAGTTTTTCTAAAAGATTTGAATATTTATTTGATGGAAGAAACTTCTTCTGAAGTCTGAAGAAAGACCCGATGCATGAAATCTGTTACTACTTGACAAGAAAAAGCTCCTCTGCAAGACGAATGTAGTAAAAGTTTCTAAATTCATCCGGAAATCTGTTCCCCACTTTGCTATAGAATTAAGCTCTATACTCTGCGTTTAAAGACAAGTAAAAGCTGCTGTACAAGACGTATATATTAACACTTGAGAGGATCATCCGGTAGCAAAAAAGGTTATACTAGGTTACTTCCAGTAAGAATCACATCACTGCTTATAGCTCACATTTGCTCGTTTTTACTCGCAAGCGGGAATAGTCAAAGTGCGCGAGTTTTTATGTCTGTCTAAGTCTGCTGTCCACCATTTTGTTTTATGTGTCGAAGGGTTGATTCAACTCGGTTTCGCTTTTAGCATTTTAACGTTCACTCTAATTTTTCAAACATAAGTGACTCGCAATATGTTTGAAAAATTAGAGTGGGAGTCGAAATGCTCGAAATAGAGTAAGAGCTTACTCTGAAAGCAAAATCGAGTGGAATCAACTGTTTTGTTTTCTAATTGGTGTGTTCATTGGTTTAGCAGATTGCAGGGTTTGAAGCAGGTATTGCAACCTATATAGTATTGGCTGGGGCGCACGATAACTATCCAAGGAAGTATCCGTTTTGGTCCAAACTTGGTACATCGTAATATTATTGTCAAACTTAGATCGTGTTCGAAGATGGACAATAATATTAACCCACTCCTTCTGGTACCTCCCCCAGAAGGTCGCAATTAAAAAAAAAAATTATTGCACAGAAAGGGAAAGGATAATCCGAATTTGCTCCAATTTTTCATTTTGGAATAACCATCTCAAGCTATTCTCTAAAATAACACTGTAAATCTTTGTAGTTTCAAATTGAGCTTTTTGTGTCCAAAAGTAAAATTATGATATGAGTTCTTCTTTTGTAGAAAACTTCATCTGGCCAACCTGTTTTTCTTTTGAGTTTAGCTAGCACACGTCTTTTTCGTCTACCCATAGGCCAACGAAGTTAGTTTTCCTGATCTCCATTATTGTCATTTGCTTTTTGTTGTCTTACCAACAACACCTTGGCATCCGTTCATGACGGTGGCAAATGACTTTATTATTTGGGGTGTTAACTATACTTTGTATGGTTTGAAGAAAAAAAAGAAGAAAACACATGTAATCTATATGTGTATCTTACATTGAAGATGTTTTTTTTTTCAAGTCGGAATTGTGTGGATGTGGGTACAACATAAAGTTGGTTCAGCCTTTGTTTTCTGCTTAGGAAAAAAAGCTTGGGCAATTAAAAAGACATTGATATTAATATCTTTTGTCAGAATATGGTAGCTATTCTAATGAGATTTTATGCTGATGTTACATCTAACAATGATATAATTTGAAAGGAAGTGTTTCTAAAGGTTAGATACAAGTATACAATGTTTTCCTGAATGAATAACATATCATGTTACAGCACGAGCAGATTATTAATTATCAAATAAACTATTACTCTTAGGGAAATGTCATGTTATTCTCTATACTGCAACTTGTATTTGACATTCAAATCAAGTTCAACAAAATACTATTTTTAAAATTATTTAATTTTAGTTTTTGAATTAGACCATGATTATTGCTAAATTGCTGTCTTCAAAATATTGAAAAAAACAGATGCTTTGTTCCACTACTTACAAGAATCTACTAATTTTTTCGATATCATAAAGGTAAAATCTTTATCTACATTCTTGCAGTTCTGGAACAGACCAAGGATGGCATACTTCATTTTTATAAAATGTTACATTTTAACCCTAAGCTAGACTTTTAATTTTGTTCTATATAATTATGTTTTGAGACTAAGGAAGAAGAAATCTCTGTTTATTTAGTTCAGGTTTAGTTTGATTTTAGTAAAAAAAAATGGATACAATCTACAAATCTGCCTATTTGTAATATTTTCAAGAATGCTTTGTCATTTGGGAGTTGGCTTCATTTCTATTCCCTAAAACAGAGCCAAGTAATAAAAAGAGTCTAAAAGAGCAGTTATATCAAATTGTTGCTAAATATCTGAACAATGAATCCATCTAGTATGAACCTTACCATTCCATCGCCTCACCAAAAACAATGCCAACAAACGGCAACAATAACAACAATCAACCAGTTTCCACATCCGGTTTTGCCGGCAAAACAAACAAACCAAAAAACACAAATTTTGAATAAAAAGAGCCACTCTAAACACACTCTTTTTAATGATTAACCAACAAAACCTGAAGGGAGAAAAAAACGTTTCTCGACTGTGGTGGCACGCCAGAGAAATGTATGGAACACATTAAAGCTACGTCAATCGTTTACTAAATAAGTGAGCTGGCTATGCATGTAGACTCTTCTTCTGTCTGTCTGACTGGCTGTCGATTGAAGTGAAATGTTGAATGTTGTTTGTACCACAACAATGGCTGGGTATTTCGCCTGAGACCTGATACTGCCAAACAGCCAACCAGCCAGTTGGACAACATATGCACTGTCCATTCATCCATCCATCCACCAACCCAACCATCCACCATATGCAGCATGTTGCAACATTATTACATGGCCTGGCTTTTTGAGTGTTTGGTGTTATGCATAAGCAACGGTATGTCTTGTCCAGTCCATATCTACATGTATAGCATAACCGATTGATACCCGAGATACACTGTGGAAAAATGTTAGATTGTAAAACATATGATTAGAATTGGTGGAATTCCTCTGAGGCGATTTCAAAAAAAATGCTGGAAGGAATCCGATTCCATAAAAAATAGGTTGCATAGGTTGAATAAATATTTGATAGAAAAAAATGTTGTCTAGGATTCTATTGGATATATACTGAGCATCTGTCTCCCACATTTCAAGAAACTAGGTGAAAATAATGCTCCCCTGAAAAAATCTCATAACCAAGTAATGAGTCATGTTGGCATCAGGAACCACTCATAAAGCTAACCCCTTACTTTAACATAGACATGTCCTAGAAAGTAAGTATTTACAACAGCCACAGAGAATAAAAAATTGTTAAAAATCTTTATTTCCATTTTAATAAAAATTGAGTTGATTTTTTATTCAATCGCACCACACTTCATTTTTATAATTGCCGATGGAGTTGTTGAACTTGCGACATTCTGAGTTGTAGCCCCATTAGAATCACTAATTTTTGTTAAATGGCCTAAATATGTGTTGGCAAACTTTTCGTATTTTCTTATTTTTTTCGATTAAAGGATTCGAACCAGAGACCTTAGGTTTTATAGTGATACACCTTCACTTTGAGTTGTCATTACTCATTGTTTGGTAATATTAAAGTGAGCAATTTTGCCATGCTAATTTAATACTTACATATATGTATGAAAACGAAAAAATCGGCATAATTTTATACTTCATACCACATATGTTTTGAAAATCACAGTCAACTTATTTCTCTGCTTATTTGAAATAAGAATTAAATATGTATGGGTGTTAAGAGTTGTTGCCAAGTTGCCCAACAACTTTTGTCATCAACATTGACCGTCCAACCGTCCGCGCCTCACTCACTTCTGAAAAGAAGACACTGGAACCAATGTTGCATTGTTGTTGCCCAATGACAGTTCACAAGAACATGGTCTTGTTTGGTTTACAATTGACCAAAAACCCTTCCCCTCACATGTTTCTACCCCCTTCGGCTCCCTCTGGAAACTGGTTTATTTTTGTCGTCTTCTTTGGTGTTGGAGTTTGTCACCTGGTTAACACTCCGTGCAGCTTTTTTTTTGTAAATACCATTTTGATTGCGTTCTAAGCCAGAGGCAAGGATGCTCGGTGAAAGGAATCGCTTACTTTGTGTGCACTGCAGTCGAGTGCTCTAGAATTGGGTTACCTTTGCAAGATTCTGTTTGACCACCA